CAGTCGTTGCTTTTCCCGTAAGCCGCCGTGATAAGAAATGCCGGTTGGTTCACACTTGGTATAAGTCAGAAATTAAATCCCAATATGAATATTATCCAGGAGTAATATACATCAATGGATTCATTATGGCTTTGACTACCTTTAAATAGCAAAATTTGCAAAAATTAATGCTGATTGAATTATGAAATACCTAAAAAACACAAGCAGTTCTTGATTTCTCCATAAGCCGCCGTGTTACAAAATGCCGTTGGGTTCGCAAATGGTTCACTATTTTCGGAGCACACGCGGCTCGGAAACGCCTGTTCATGGATTGGCTTCATCGCCGCTCCAGTACTTTGCGACTCTATTGTACTCTATGGTTTGACCGGAAAAATGCCACTAGACATCACTTCACTGCTCTGTTGGAGGTTAACGCAGGTTTGTCGGATTAGAGAAAATAATTTGATTTGAAATATAGGAATAAAAATTACATAAGCAGAAATTTGGCAACTGTATTTTTGCCATATTCATCAAACATCTATCCTCTGTCAGCTGTCAGCTCGCTTAAGTGTGCGAGAGAGATAGAAAATAGCCAAGCGTCTCGCGTATATGAGTGCGAGAGAGAAAGAAAATCGCCCGGCGGGACTTGCGTTGTTTTACGGGGTTTTGGGGGGACTCAGAACTTTTAAATTTAACTGGTGTGGAGATTACCCCTGTGCCCCATGAGAAAAGTCTCTAAGTACAATATGGGACCCTCAAATTTGGATTCCTTGGGGTCGAGTACCCATGAATACACATTTTTTCCGAGTCTCCACGTCAATTTAACTAACTTGAATTTTTCTGAAAGGGGGCTCTGTCCCTCACAAGTCCCCCATCTTTAGGGGTCGGTATTTTGGACACGGATGGGTCGATTTTGTATTTCTTGGTGTCGATTTTAGTTAAAAATTTCCGTACGTTCTGATTCCGATGAAATAATTTCAAAATTTTGACATAAACCCTGACTTTTGAAGTACGGACCCCCCTTTAATAGTCCAAGGGGCGCCAGGGGGGCTCTGGGACCATGAAAAAAATTCGGATTCCTTGGGGTCGATTCCCTATTCATCCCTGGAAAAAAAGGCCTGGTACGGTAGGTCTGGGCCACCTGTACATAGCATCGTTTAGGTGAAAAATCTCGGTAGATTTTGAATTTTTAGCAAAAAAAGGACGATGACGTAGCCTAAAGAATCATTTTAATCCGAAAAATCGACAAAATTCAGAGAATTGGAAGCAGATTAATGTTTGGAAAAAACCTCGCATTCGATACATACAGAAATCGATAGCTGAATCGAATGCGAGGTTTTTTCCAAACATTATTCTGCTTTCATTTCTCTGAATATGACCGATTTTTTGGATTATAATGATTCTTTAGGCTACGTGTACGTCATCGTCCTTTTTTGTGCTAAAAATTCAAAATCTACCGAGATTTTTCACCTAATCGATTCGATATATCGCATGCCATTTCGTCCATTACTTGAGCTGAGCGCGCGACTTAATAATAAAACAGAAGTGGAGACTTTTAATCACCGAAAACGAGATACGTAGTTTGATAGTTTCATTGTCAAAATGGATCGCATTTTGCAAAAAGGAACCAGGAGCATTGCAATGTTGCTAAGATTAAGAAACTTATTTTGTCTTGGAAGAAAAAACTGATTATCTAAGTATTAACAGTCTCTATTTTACTCGCTAAAAACTGTAAATTGAAGGCAAAAATTGCAATGTAAATTTCATATTTTTTCATGGTTCCAGTAATTTTATTGTAAAGGATGAAAATGCACAATCTCAGCATCATTGCAATTCTTCTGGTTCTTTTTTGCAAAATGCAATCGAAATAGTATAAATCAAACAGTATACAGAAGTGCGCACCGTTTGGTATGAGGGCGAAAAATCAAATTACGCGCCCTCATTAAATATCAGCTCAGAGGGCGTCTCTGATTGGCCGTACGGCTTCATGTAAGCATGCGTTCGCGGCAAATGTTTGCAATTTTCTTCTGTTTGTTCAAGTTTGAGTTTGTTTGTGTAAGAAATGGCGTCGTGATCCGTGAGCCCTAGAGGAGTCAAAGATAAAATCGGTAATATTTCTCGATCTTCGGTTGAATTTTGTACCTTCACGAACTGCTCCATGAATCGTTCAACTTTTTGTTCCTAAGTTTTCCTCCGCCTTTTCGTAGCTTAGCGTCGTACTGATTGTTGTCTAGACCTTGTCGGCGGAGTCGGTATCTAGCGGTGCAGATTCCTCAGTTTTCGGCGACCGTGAGTATTTCCAAATGCTTTTTATATTATACCGCATTGTCTGGAAAGTATTCGCACTGGCCTTTCCACCGTACAATCGGGAGGTTCTGTTCAATGTCTCTTTAGTTTTGCTATATCTCTGCTATCAAAAGGTGGTGTTTTCATCCTATTTTGAGCACCTTTGATGATTATCATTCATGTTGTTTTTTATTTGCATTTACGACTGATCGGTGAGTGGATTGTTGAGATTTTTTGTTTGTTGACTTGACAGAGGAAGGTAGGGAAATCCGAGGTGAAGTGGTGTTGGGCGTTTGATCAGTTTGGTCCCTTCATTTTGCCTTCCTTTTGTTGTGCCGTCACTGAGCTGGACGAAAGATTGGTTGTTGGTTTCTAAAGCTCAGTTCAAACTATCAAACTGTTGATCTGACATAATTGTACGGAAAGTTGGATGAAAAGTTGTATGTGACGTCACATTCAAGTTTCCGCTCAATTTTTCATCGAATTGTCGTCTTCTCGTGTCAGTATCACACTAAGTCTCCATCTTTTCATTCGAAACGTTGCATTCAAGAGCTGAATGAAAAGTTTGATAGTGTGCATTGGGCTTAAGAGAATGTAGACCATTAAGTATTAAACCCAACAATCGTCAGACTTCACTTTATTTTAGCCTTATTTTGTTTAGTTGACGAACATAGAAATTCAAGATAAGATATATAAGATTCTTCAATGGATAAGTAATGTATCACTTAATGTGATGTAAGTATCCATCAGATACTTACCGATCTACCTTCTACTGCAGTTAACGGTAACGCCTCAGGTCCTGCTTGCCTGCCTCTAATCTAACTCAGATTAAGTGTAAGAGGTCAAATCGACTATAAAATTACCCAAATGCACATTTGGGTTGCAAGATTTCCAAATCTCTGTTTCTACTTCATTTTACCCAACCTACATAATGACTTGAAAGTTTCATCGAATTTTCTTCACAAGGAGAAGAAAAATCCTGGAAGTTCTCAAGAAATGTTGTTCGGCAGTAATATAAAGTTTGACAGGAAGTTTCAAATGCTGTAAACCGCGATATGCTTTTCTACTGTTCAACCATTAAAATTCCAAAAATCCTATCACAAATAAGTATTATCACTTACAGGATCTTATTGATAATGACATGAGATACTTATGTAGGAAAGTGTGTTTCCCCTCCACCTTGCTTTGAGTTATTATGTTTTGAATAGTATTATTTATGACATTTCCTCTACCTTACAGTTTTGAATACAACGAAGAAAGGACACCTTTCTCAAACATGGCGTCGTTAGTCAAAATGCAGATTCTTGGTTTGCGGAGCTTTGGGCCTGATGAGAAGGATGCGCAAATGGTTGCCTTCAACTCACCTTTAACTTTAATCTTAGGTCAAAATGGTTGTGGCAAAACAACGATCATTGAAGCTCTCAAATACGCTACCTGTGGAGAACTACCCTCCAACACGCAACAGGGCAGTGGATTTGTCCATGATCCCAAGATCAACAATCGAGTTGAGGTAATCTTCTTGACCAGATTTTTTAACAGAATAAACCACTACTAATCATGAAAATTAAGTTAGCTTGTCCTCATTTCTCATGAAGGAAGGCGTATGAAGGGAAATGTTTCATCAGGTATGAAGATGCATCATAAGGGGATTATTCATGAACTATTCAGATAAATGACTGATTAGGAACCACCAAAATTTAGGTTGTTGTCAATAGTTACCTATTTTTACTGTTTCTAGTCCTTGCATTTTTGTAGAGAGATCCCACCATTGTTTTCAAGATTTATTTAATTTTTACCTAAGTTCTAATTGATTAAAAAAAAGATGAAATTGCACATGAATTTTAGGGAAGGTCAATCAGTGCTAAACAGGAAACCATCACAGCTTAAGGATGCAGAAAGTTCCGATCCGTATTATTTTTCCAAATGGGTCCTCCCATTTTAAAAACGTCTCTTTCTCCCCAATTTTCAAAATGATGGTAGTTTTGTGTTCTTATACTCATGATTGCTGCGATCTTGCAACAAGGCCTGATTTTCTAGCTGGCACAAGCTACCTCTCTCATTTTCAAGACCACTTTTTGGTGTCCCTCCATTTTTGAAACTAGTCTTTATGGCCTTCCCATTTTGCTATTTTTGCCAGATGCGCTAACGAAAGGTTACTGTATCCTTGTTGTGACAGTAAATGTTGCTATGGTTTTGTCACTGCTCCTTTTCTGTCATTTTATCTGCAGAGCGTATCATAATTTTCTGCATGTGTTATGAGAGTTATCTTTCTGTACATGGTCGATTATTTTTCAGGTGCGGGGACAAGTGAAACTTGTCTGTACGACTACAAAAGGAGAACAAGTTTGTATAGCACGGTCAGTCCAGGTGCAGCAAAAAGTGAAGAAGCTCACCTTCAAGTCTTTGGATACAACCATAACTCGAATCAACCCGGAAACAAAAGAAGTAAGTTAGTTGGAATTTTTCATAAATGTTTCTCAATAATTTAGGACCCCGCACTAATAACGGTCTACACCCGTATAGGTTGTATTTGCTCCCATTGATTTTTCTGACTCTCCGTACCCCGGACTATACTGTGGTATAGGTACAACGTATTTAAGTAACGGCTGGAGGTCAGAAACCCTTTGTTTTTTGACTTAAGTGAGGACTCTGGAGCTATGGGTGGAATAACAGCCTATATGGGTGAAGGCCTTTCATGCGTCCATCAACTTGGTAACGTTGTTTTTGGTTTGGGAGTGTGGCTGATAGTGACTGCTCGTTCATTTTGCATTAATATTGGGCGATTATAATGATTTTTACGTTCTAACTTCAACAAAAATGATTGTAGGGAATTTTTGAACAGCAGTTTTGACTCTGCTATGGAATGGCTCTTTCCTGAGTTGAAGAAATTTCTGAGAGGCACACGGTTTGATTCCATAAGCGAGATCAAAACCGTTGTTCAAACATTCTTCAAAATCCTCCGTCAAGAAGACTTCGAAAAGAAGATCCTTGTGAAGTGGGCAGAACGGCTGAAACTTAGTGTTCAAAGTGGTGGAAAATATTTAGAAAAACAGCCGAATGTTGAGTCACCCGTGTCATCCGATGAAGGTGCTTGAAGTTCGTCAATTTTTATAAGATTTTGTAAGTTTTTTCAATAAAAACACTCAATTCTCATTTAACTTTTTTTTTTTTTGACAAACATATTGGAAGCTAAAAATTCTGGGGGGAGTCCCTCGACATATCATTTTCAAAACCCTGTCACTCAGTCAATTTTTAAGCTAAAGAGCTGTTCTTGGTCTTGTTTTATTGGTAATTATGTTTACTTCAACCACATGCAAACCGCAAATTGATAGCTGTTTTTGTTCGCTCAAAAAACTAAAACAAGCATTACTTTTTGAACACCCTATGTAATTGGTATTAATTGGACCAAGAAAAGAAATGTACTAAGTAAAATTGTTTGAAGGAAGTGAGTGAAAAGAAGTTTTGCATACAACTAGCTATAAGTTTCTCTCATCGGAAATTCAAAATTGAGAACAAATATTTTAGAAGTGAAATTGGTCAAATTTTGTCCTTAACATTGAGTCTCACGGAGTAATAAAACTTCACAATCTCTGTTTCCGGGTTCAAACTTAATGTAACTTCCTGCGTCTCTATCAAACTGCAGCCAATTCTTCTCTGATAATTGAGAAAATTTACAAGCTCAGTTAACTGAGATTTTAATCTGTACTAAACAGTGACTTTACAGTAGTTTAGTATCATGTCATTATCTAACCTGGAGAAAAGTATCACTTCATAATTATTTTCGTTTCTCCAACAGAAAGAGAGTCTAAGTGGGCGGTGTGCAGATGTAGATACCGAAATGTGTTATCGTCTAGGAGTAACAAAGCCAATACTCAATTATGTCATATTTTGTCATCAAGAAGAATCCTGTTGGTAAGTAATACTTTCAGTTTTCGTTTTTTGGTCAGTGATACCCGCAGAGGTAATAGTAATTCAGAAATATTGCCCTTCAAGCTAAAAATGCTTATTCTGATCATATATTTTCAGATTGAGAAGGAAACACTAAGAAGTGGCCAGAATACTGTATGTAATAAGGTGGAGAAATGGTGCTGGGTTCACACCATTTCGCGGGGAAAAACGAAGCGGAGAAGTTCCAAAAATTATAATTAGAGTCAAAAATAAATTTTTTTAACTTTAATGAGTACCAGTACAAAACTGAGGGGGGAGCAGTTCAGTCAGGCAGTTTGCATTGGAATATTAACCCATTGACTTAAACCGACGGCTCCCAGCCATCCGCGCAGCGCTGGGCCAGACCTGAAGAGATGGCTCAGAGCCATCCGTCGATTTTTTGCGTTAATTCGGCGATTCTCCGGTAGATTACGCTCTCATCAATGTTTATATGAGTAGTGTGGCCACCCTATGACTTATTGTGTACGGTAATTTCTTGTTTTGTTACGGTATTTTCATATTACTGTGCGTTTGCACATGAAATAACCTCAAAATTTTCTGATTTTCGCTGATTTTGCGATTTTTGCGACTTTGACAGCTGTAAACCACAATAAAAAAATCATTGTGTTCCAAGTTTTCACCATTTTTCTCAAACGTTGTATAGTAAATGCTTATTGTGTCAATTTTCACCCTTAGAGAAAGAACTTCTGAATTATTTTGAAGTGTTCAAAGTTACTGATTTTCGGCAAAGTAAATCGTAATTCCTGACCCGGCAGGGTCAAATTAAATCATAAGTCAATGGGTTAAGTTGGAGCCACGGCAAGAGACCTATATCGGGTTGGGTCTTTTTAGATCTCTTCAGCAGATCACACTTGTCAGTGAACCCAACTTAACATGCCGCAAAACTCAAGACGGCATTTAAACCCGTCATGGATATGACCCGAGGCATGACACAAAAGTGTGATCCTCGCGCCATCTACCGTTGCTGTTGAACAACTCTCAAAACTTCTCGGCTTCGTTTTTCCCTGCGAAATGGTGTGGACCCAGCTCCATTTCTCCACCCTGTTACATACAGTATTCGGGCCACTTTTTAGAGTTTTTTTCTCAGTTGTACGCATGATTTGGGGATACATGTGCTTCGCTTCTTTTTTCTCCCGTTTGGGAGCAGGCGGTTGAGTCTAGATGTGTTAGCATCTCCAACCAGCCTGATAATCATATTTTTGGGTTTTCTTTTTTTTTGTTTTGAGAGTTGTTCAGCAGCAACGGTAGATGGCGCGAGGATCACACTTTTGTGTCATGCCTTGGGTCATATCCATGACGGCGTTTTAATGCTGTCTTAGATTTTGCGGCATGTTAAGTTGGGCTCACTAACGAGTGAGATCTGCTGATGAGGTCTAAAAAGACCCAAACCGGTATAGATCTCTTGTTGTGACTTCAACTTAATCTTCCAATGCAAACTGCCTGAGCTGAACACTTCCCCCCCCCCCTCAGTTTTGTACTGGTACTCATTAGAGTTAAAAAAATTTATTTTTGACTCTAATTATAATTTTTGGAGCTTCTCGTCTTTGTTTTTCCCAGCGAAATAGTGTGGACGCAGCACCATGTCTTCACTGTGTTATATTTTCAGGGTGTTGACTGTCCTCACAAATTAGGTTTCCTTTACTTTCGCATTTCCCATCGGACAATTTCATTGGTCTTGCTGCGTTGTCAGCCTTTGGTCAATTCATCAAATGCCTACAGCCACCTGCACCTCCAAGTTTATTAATCTGTCAAATTTCTCAAAAAATATTGTCCCGTGGCACATGCTTTCAACGAAACTCATTTCTTCTTGAAAACACCTCAAGGTTTGTCACACGGTTTTGTGTCGTCGACGGAAAACATAAGCTTGGTCTAAACAAAGATCAAAAATATTATGCTACAATGGTAGCTAAATTCAGTGATTTGTATGAATATTTTCCCCCAAAATTTGTGTAAATTAAAATAAACTGGTGTCATGCTCAAAATTTTAGTTTTGATTAAAGGAACTGACTTAGCTGTGACATTGTCAGTGCAGGGGTGCATAAACCGTTCAACTGAGTGACGAACAAATTGCTTGCATTTCCATGCAAAAAGGGAAGGCCAGCTTGAGAAAGTATGAAATTTACATGATTTTCACAAAGTCACATCCGTTTGTGATGTGTGAATCATAAAAAGTTGGTTTAAATGGGAAGGCTGAGAACTTTCTCTCTTCCCATGTTTGTATATTCTTATGGTGTACTGCAGCTAAAAATTGCTCATCATTGACTTTTAATTTGGCAGGCCCCTTGAAGAAAACAAGAAATTGAAGGAAAAATTTGATGCAATTTTTGATTCAACAAAATACAATAGATGTCTTGAAGACACAAGACTGAAGAGAAAAAATATGATACATGGTAAGCAGCTGTTTTTTTTTAAATTTTGGTAATGTTACATGGTGTAAAAAAACCAAGAACAGTCAAAGAAATCCATTTTTTTAAATCAAATCTGTTAAAGGTATCAAATGAACATAACTTACAATTATTTTCCCAAAATTTACAATTACAGCAACCAGCAAACTTTTTTCAAAAATGCAAAAATTTAGGTAAAAAAAGGAAAGTGAAAGGTCATCAATTTTTTAAACAGGGGAGAAATTTTGTGGAAAGCCAACCGAAAAAATATGGAAAGCCGGTGGCGGGGCGCATGAAAATGTGGAAGCTTGAAAGATTCTGCTTCCCTGTATAAGATGGGGGCAAACATTTTAGAACACCACAAACAAGATACCTAGTTTGGGAGATTCACCATCAATATGCAAGTCCAGCTTAAATTTGTATTTGTTTATTCTGACTCCCAACAGATGTGAATATAAAAAAAAGTAATCTGGTCTACCTGAAGCAGTTCCAGAATGATGCCATTGATAAGCAGAAAGCTCTAGATGAAACCAAAGCCAAGTTGGTTCAAACCCAAACTGAGATCGTGGAATTGCAGGAGAAAGAGAAGCCAATTCAAGAAAAACTCATCGAGCTGAAAGAACAGGAAAGAAATGCTACATCTTTGAACACTAAGATTGAAGGCATCAAAGGCAGGTTGAAAGAACTGCTGAAGAGCAAGGACCATCTCAACAAACTAATAATTAATCGCTTTGAAGGCACGGATGAGGAACTTCAAGCTGCCATTGATTCTTTTGACGAAGATCACAGGTAACTTATTTTAACAATTTTCCATTGTAAAACCTTATTTCTTTCCATTGTGGAAGATGTCAAAACCAGTTGTTGGAAAATGACAGTGTTGTAAATTTTAATTATTTTGAAGTATGCCTTCACAGTTCCTATTTTTTGAGTAAAGAAGACATCGTCAGATGTGATTATGTTGCCATCTTTTCATTGCTATCACTTTATTCAACAATATTTGGCAAAATGTGGGCAGTATTTAACATGAGTTTAGATAGCAGCTTGCAGTTTGAGCCCAAGTGAACCTAACCTAAATCAATTTCAAAGTGTTATGCAGTATTTGCACCAGTCAGCCATTCTAGACGTTTAGTCTAGTTCGTTGCTGCATGCAGGTAGCTCATGCAGAAGTGGAACATTTGATTCAATTCATCAAATATGTTAGTTTTTAAAATAAAACGAGTGTCAGTTTATTGATTCTAAATATCAAGAATTTTCATTCAAAAGGTCAGGAAAATCCAAAATGAAATTTTAGTGGACACCCTGATTTTCGATCTTTTTTTCACATTTTTTTTAAATCAAGTTTTCCCCCCTGTGCTCCTGTTGATACCTGTCAATGTTTTGCACTCATCTTTTGGAAGAAATTAACTACAGTTTTAGCGTGAACATTTTCATCAAATATCCTTCACTCTAAATAGCAGAAATACGAAATTACACTCAAGATACAACATAGATGAGAGTTGTGCCGCATCAGTTCGTCAACATTGCAGATAACCTCCATGCAAAATGTGAAGTTGTTGAATATTTTGTTGTATGAACTCATTATTATCTTTCGCTCTTTCTTTCAGAGTAAAGAAAGATGAACTAAAACAACTTGAGCCTGAAAAGTCAGAGCTGTTGAAAGAGCAAAAAAAACTAGACAAAGACATCAGCAAAAAGACAAACCAAGTAGGCCAGTTGAGTAATGCTGAAGATCACCACAAGAGTACAATTGCAAAATGTAACCATGAAATCAACAATTTGGGGAAAAAACTGGAAATAGAGGGTAAGTAATTTTCTTATAGTGTTTTCTCAGCAACTCTTCATGGCAAACTATGTCCATTGTACTCACATATTGTACGCGGCAGATAGAGTTAAGTTGTGAGGAACTAGATTTCAGAAGGATTTAGAGGAGTCCTACAGGTACATGGGTTGGTAAGACTCCTACCAACCCATGTACCTGTAGGAAAAACAGTATAGTAGGAGACTTTTATCGTAGGAGTCTTGTTGTACTGCTTTTAATGTATGGTTAACTAATTTCATGTTCTCTTGAGTCTATTATAAAAATTTCCAAAACATTTCATCGTGTAATTTTACTGTACCAAATTTCACTTTGTTATCTTGTATATCTTTGCTCAATCATTCAAATGTTTTAACATATTCACTGTGGAGAAAAGTTATTACTATTTGTTTGGTCATAAAGATAAGCCAGATCACATATAGAATTTGAACCTATTTTATTACAATGGATTCTTTGAAAGCAGGGGATGAAATGATCTCCCAGGAATTTTTTTCAGTTCGATTGAAATTGAGAACATGTATCAATATGCATTTTGAATCTGAATTTCCGTTTGCGCAGTACCATCCAGCACATCATGACGTCACCTATCAGCACTTGGCCATCAGTCTTTTGAAGCTCCATTGCGTTTAGTGAAATTTGTGCTGTGGTGACATGCATTTTTCGGCCTCTGAAATTGCAAAAATAACTAATTCATCAGTAGGAATAGCCTATTTACATCTCTACATGGCTCAAATGTCTAATGAACTACTCTCAAAATATTATTAAATTAAATTTCAATAAATAATCCAGAGTGTCTTCTGCAAGTAAAAAAAACGGATACACTGAAAATGCTCGGATTTTGGTACGTCAGTAGGGAAGTACAGAAAAGGTACAAATTTTCTGTGTTAAGCTACGGAAATTTGAGATTTTTGTGATTAACTCTATAAAGTACCCTGAGGGCTATGTATTTCCTAACACAATCTTTTATCAAGTCCCTGGTTAGGTTGAATTTTTGTCTATTCCTTTGTCATTCTATCATTCCACTTTCCCAATCCGAATACAGTTAAAAATGCATGTGAGGTACGGTAGAAGTCAGAAAAATATAAGAAAAAGCAAGGATTTTTGAAATCTCCAAAAAGAGAAATTTTCGGGAAAATAAGGAAAAAGCAAGGAATTTGAATGACAAGGTACCAGTAAACACCCTGAATAATCTAAATAAAGTGGGCCATGTCTAAATGTGCCTATGGCATTTTTTGGCAGTATGCTAGAATAGTCAGTAGTCAACTTCTCTTGTTTGTTTCAGCATATAATACGACTCAGATGACAGCAACAAGCACCGATTCAAAAGAAAAACTGGATGAACTAAATGCCAAAATTGAGGAAAGACAGAATAGATTGGAGGAACTCCATAAATCCCATGAAAATGCGGAGAGTTTGGCCCAAAAAAAAATTGATGAGTGTCGTGAGAAGAGGAGTGCATGTGACGCAGAAATAAAGTCCAAAGAGACTCAGCTGAAAAAAGTCAATGCAGACTTTGATAAAGTCACAGCGGATATACTTGCTGTAAGTTTATTTTTGCCAAGTCTCTATCGTTTTTGTTTTGAACAATGAATCAGAATGGATACATTTTTGGTTGAAAGCATGAACTTGTCCTTCCCATAATTTTTTATGTGTCTCCTCAAATTAACCTCGACATTTATTACATTTATTATCATAAGCCCTTTCTCTGGAGATGTTCCTTGTTTTTAAATTTTCCCTGGAAGAGTTCTGATAATGACTTCTTGACTGGAATCTTTTTGCTCAGGATACACTTTATCTCTCATTTTAAAAATTGATCTCTAGATAAGGTGGGTATTTAAGCTACAGGATATATTTTCTCATCATGTAAAACGCAATTTGTGCCAAGAAAATGATCGAAAGTAACGCCTTACGGAGATATTAATGTTTTTCAATGCATAAATTCTTCTTGCTTTTATACCGAAAATTCGATTTTATTACGAAATTCTTGAACATAAAGCTGATGACCAAACTCCGGTATCCATGACTGAAGGCAAGCAGCACTCATTTTGGAGAAGCTGAGCCTTAAAAATCTGTGATTCCTCACATCTCTCGTAGTGTAGCTATTATTTGTCAAAGGAGCACACTCTTTCCCAGAAGTTGCAGATCTGTAACTTCTGGGAATGAAAAACTCCCCTGTCAAATGCATCAAACCAAGGTGCTGTCCTATTTTATAATGAGTCAAAACACATCGTGCGTTTTTTCCACAAAGCACATAGAGTCGTAATGTAAATGAAAGAGCTGGCGCCACATTCTGCTCGACGAGTTTGGAGCCCAGTGTGCTCCGGACTCAGGTCACTTTTTCGATACATGTTCGATCTAAAATGGCGGTGTGAAATATGTGGTAATTCCTATCTTCTTTGTTTACATTGGATGGCCGGGTACCAGTGTATCGCAAACAAACGATCATGTATTGAAAAAGTGACCCGGCGTCACACAGGAGTCTCGGAATTTGGTACCTGGAAAATGCTTAAAAGTGGCGCCAGCTCTCCCTCTTACATTATGACTCTATGTACTCTATGGTTTTTTCTCAAGCAATCAAGATTTGTTTATTAGTGCATTCACATTTTTTTTTCTTTCAAACTTTGTTAGGAGTGAAGTTTTTTAGTGGAAGTTTCCTTTCGAAATTTGGACTGTCTAAATAAAGTGTTCAATAACATTAAAGAATTTGCTCAGTGACTTTCTTCTCTGGTTGTGCCATACTTCTTCTGTATAATGCTTATATTGTAGACCAGTCCATGTTGGGACCAGTTCAATTGCAAAGTGACGAAGGCCTTTTAGTCAAATCTTTAATTCCTCAAAAAATTCGGCTTTTGTCCAGTCAAATCGCATTTCAGTCACATGCCCATTTGACCACAAACCCGTCGTTCAAAACGTAAATTTTTTTTTAAAATGAACGTATTAACCGAACAAGTAACGAAACAGCAAAATAAGGATACGGAGAGAAATTAACACCTCAGAGAAGGATTCTAAAGCTCCGTCTTGTCTCTGGATGCGGAGGTCAACAGGGAGTGTATTTTGATCAAGAAATAAATGAAACAAGAATTCAGATTATACTGAAGCCTCACTTTTAAAACATCTTAAAACATTTAAAAACTGGAAAAATTTATCAGGTCCTCAAAATGAGGACTATCATCAAAATGTTTAAAAATGGGAACACCTCTAATTTTTTTTTTATCACTGAAAGGCAGTGAAGAGTGGCACCTGGGATTGCACTGCATGTTTGCACTTACATCTTCTTGTCGCACACTTATCTTTTCTTGAAATCTTCAAAAAGGAGGGATTTAATAACGAGTCCTTTTATGGGGTGGGCATGTCTTTTGTGGCACATTTCACACAAACTCAGGTACATCACGAAATGTCCTGCAAAACATTTTTGTTCTTTTTCCGCATTTCATATATTGTACACCCCCGACCACTGTGGCCTGTTGCAACAAGCGCTGCGTGCAAAATATTTGCAATTTCACCTTGCGGTACCAAAAAGAAATAATGCCACCTATCCTTTTCCTGGGCAGGTCAAAACGTTCTTTTTTACTAAAAATTAACGTTTTGACGAACGGGTTTGTGGTCGAAGCGGCGTGTGACTGGACAAAAGCCGAATATCTTAAGGAATTACAGATTTTATCTTAAGGCTTTTGTCACTTCGTGATTTAACCGCTCACATCGCAATTGAACCGGATTTCAGCATTTGACTACAACATCTATAATTCAACTATTCAATGCAAATAACAGTTCTAATTCCTCACCATGATTTGTTTTCTTTCAGGCGGATGAGTCTGCGAATACATTAGTAGCTCTAGAAAACAAATTAACGCGTCTGAATAGTGAATTGGAGGAATTTGAGCAGAGTGTCAATTTACCGGATCTCGAAAAACTGATCAATGACCAAAAAGATGAGAAATATCAGTTGGGGGATGAAATCAAAGCATTGAAAAAAGAGAGAGAAAACCTATTGATGATTCGGGATCAGCAAACTGAATTAGACAAATTGAACATAAAAAGAGAGGAGCAGGAAAGTAAAATTCAGAGACTGAAGAACAAGCATCAAGAAACAATCGAGCACTTGTTGGGTGAAATACCAGAAGAGCGCTTAAAGTCCAAGTTCCAAAGTAGATTAGATGAAATAAAAAAAGATACTCAAAAAAAAGATAAGATGGTGAAAGAGCTTAATGATAAAATGATTGGCTTGAAAGCAAACAGGAAAAATAAGGCAGAAAAACTCGTAGAGATGGAAACAGAGCTCAGAACAAAGGAGACAGAAATTTACGATCTGTGTGAGAACCGCGATTTCGACATAGTCTTGAATGAGATTGCTGATGAAATTAAGACAAAACAGGATTTGAAAGGAACATGGTATGGCACAGAATTTCTGTATAACAAATATATAGGTAAACTGCAACAGCCTAACGCTTGTTGCCCTCTTTGTCACCGAGACTTTGACGCACAGTCTGAAGCAATAGAACTTAAAGAAGAGATTGAAGGTATTGTACGGAAGATTCCACAACAAAGCGAGGATATTGAAAATCAGCTGAAGGTGCTCCTTGTGAAGCATGAAAAACTTCTACTTCTGAAGCCGACGATTGAGAAAGTTCGTTCCTTAAAAGATATTGAAATTCCCTGTGTCAGGTCTGAACTGGAGGATCTTGATAAAGAAATGGGAAAGCTGCAACGTGAGTCAAGTGATTTGGAAGGTGAATTAGAGCAACCTCGAAAAGATGCAGAAATGGCCAGCAGTGCACAGTCTGATATTATTAACCTAGATACTTACATGACGGAACTTGTGACAATGGTGAGACAAATCTCTGACCTCAGTGCCAAACTTGGTACAAAAGGCAAAGATAACTCGTATGAGCAAGTTTCAGAGGAGTTGCAGAAAAAAGAAGAAGCTCATGAAAAACTTAGCAGCAACTTTGATAGCAATCAAACCAAACTCAGGGAGGAAAGTAAAAGGCTCAATGACATGAAAGAGAAGAAAAATAAACTCGTCCAAGAACAACTGGATTTAAGAGACAAATCTCAAAGGCGAGCGGAACTCGGAGATAAACAGACTGAATTACAAACTCAGAAAGATACTCTTCGCAAGGAAATCGATGAAAAGAAAGATGAACTTCAACCGCTTGATGCACAACTAAAGTCCCTTATGAAAGAAAAGAGCGAGTTGTCTAAGGAGAACAGGAAATTGTATAATGAAGAGCGCAACATTGTCACTGCATTTGAACAGCAATATCATTCAATTGTGAAATTGCAGAACGAAATTGAAAATTATGAAAGAAAAGGAGGAAGTGCAACTTTAGATAATGCTAGAGAAGAATTGAAAGTGATGGTGAACAAGATGGAAGAACTGAAGGCAAAAGAAGAGGTATTCAATGGTAAAATCAATGGTATAAGAGAGTTTCTTTCAAACTTGCAGAGCAGTCGAATGGATTTGACTAACAACCAAATGCTTCGACAGAAAGACGAAGAAGAAAATAAATATAATAAACAGATAACAGAACTCACAGAACAACATGGAGACGATTTGAATTTGAGACAGTTGAGACAAGAAACACAAAAGTGCTCTCAAGAAGCAGGGAAAATTTCACATAAAATCGGACAAGCTCAGGGTGCCGAAAAAGAGTTGCAAAATAGCATCAAAGCTGCGGAAAAAGAGCTTCAAGCTGATAAATACAAGAATGCTGCTGAAAATTACCGCAACCTGCTAATTGAAGTAAAGGCTAAGGAGTTGGCCGCGGCTGATTTAGGAAACTACATTCTTGCCTTGGACTGGGCTATGATCCATTTCCACAAGGAGCGGATGAAGACAATCAATACAATAATTCGTAATCTGTGGCGTCAAATCTACTCCGGGAATGATATTGATACAATTGAAATCAAAACCGAAGAGTCCGACTCGAACTCAGCAGACAAGCGAAGAATGTACAATTATCGGGTGGTTTGCCGGAGAGGAGATGTCGAGATGGACATGCGCGGAAGGTGCAGTGCTGGTCAGAAAGTTCTAGCTTGTTTGATTATCAGAATGGCATTGGCAGAGACCTTTTCCAAAAACTGCGGCATCTTAGCTTTAGATGAGCCCACAACAAATTTAGATCAAGAAAATATCGACAGCTTGAGCACTGCTTTAGCTGATATTATTTCTCACCGCTCTCGCCAAAAGAATTTCCAGTTAATTGTGATTACACACGATGAAGATTTCTTATTGCGATTAAGTCATAGCGAAAAAATACCATATTACCTCAAGGTTCATCGAAATCAGCATGGCAAGTCAGAAGTTCAACAAGTGGCTGTGAATTAACTTGCATGATAATTTCTCCAACATGTGTTGTACATAAAAGATCTGATATCAGTGCTTGTACTATTAGAGGTGCTCTAAACTGTGGTGTCGTTGTGTATGGTTTTTTCTTAGCCATTCCGTTAGTGTAAATAATTTTTATTGCAATTGTACTTTAATGATGTATCTCTTCCTAATTTGTTACTGTTACCATTTCTATTTTTACATTCTTTAAGAGGGCCAAAAAACTCATTTGATATCAATCAACAAGGATGGGCATTGATGATGGATTAAATTCCCCCTAATAACGTGAATGAACTGTAAATACTATGTCCTTTGATTTAGGAATTCAATATTTAAGAAATTGTGAATGAGCAAGTCTTAGATTTTTACACTTATTGTTTTATTTTGCAGAAAAAACTAATCTGTTGGGTATCAGTGGGCCCATTTAAGATTAATCCAGAGTAATTCACCGTCACTATTAGAAAAGAGGAAGTATCCAGCATGTTCATGTTGAGTTTACAAAATGCTACATTGAACTTGCACGTTTCTGTGAAAAATCTGATATCATTCATTTAAATTGAACTGAACAACACAATATTTTGCTAACTTTTTTGCGGTAACACCTTTTTTGTTGCAAAACGGTTGTATAATTTAATGAAACTTTTTTCTTGGGTTCAAGAACAAAGGAGCTAGATGCTTCATTTTCATTATCACTCGTGACCCTTGTCTTACTCATATTCTTACTTTTTTTCTCATGTTTTTAACTTTCTCTGAAAGTTATCTTTCAAGCAGGTGGTTTCAGAGTAGTTAGTCGTATTTTCTTGCTCCCCTTATTTTCTTTGGGAATTAGAGGAGCAAGTAGTTGCTTATAATCGTACTGCAAAATCAAGTAATACCACCAGCATTTGCCACCCTTGCTCCTCCATTTTAAATTGTTCACAACATTATTTCTAATTTAACTCAGAGAGTTGTAGAGTAATTAGCAATATCATTCTAAGAGCTTCATCCTAGCAAAAACTGATAGGTTCAACTCATCACAACATTCTCTACTTTGTGCTTCATCATGTCACTTGTCATTTTCTGTGCAGCTAATTAGGATTTTTACTTATTTTCTAAATGAATTAAGTTTAGGTCTTATGAATTAGTGTCTTGTAAATATTTTAAGAGAAGTGACGTGTTTCACGTTTAACTTGTTAACAATGAATTTCATTGTTTCAATGCTATTGTCTCAAACTTCAGTCGCAGCTTTGTGGCTGTGAATTTTTCAGGTCGAATTAAGTCGATTTTAAGACCTTTTTTTAGAGAGCTGTTCCCCATGTACAAATAACTTTACTGATCAGCGTTTCCTACACATATATTTTGTATACATAATTTTCGTTCTAGTTTCATCAACAGTTTATTTTTCTTGTAGATTCTGAGGGTGCTGGCCTTAAAGTCCGCACTCATCGTCTGTTAGCTCTTAGCTAAAATCCTTTTTTTTCTTCAGAATTATCATTTTTCTTCTTTTTTTTTCATCTTAACTTTTTAGGTTATTTTTTCTGAAAAAATCCTGGAAAAGTTCAATAAAATTTTTAAAATCCCCAGCAATCAAATGTGTATTAATTTTCCATGACAATTTAGCCTTCAATGAACACTGAGGTTATAGCAGCCTCCTTAATTTCCCAAAGGAACAAATACGAAACTACATGATGATAAATCTATCTGTCCACTTATTAAAATCCTATAACCTCACCAAGAACATCAAAAATTTGAAAAGATTTCCCCCATGTACTCCCACAGTCTCATAAGGTCAGCAGGGGCCTTTTGGCCTCTATTTCAATTTTAAAAATTCCGGTACTGGTCAAAGTTTTCAGTGGGGTGAGAATGGATTCATTTTTGCAATACAATAAATGCAAATATCTCCTAATCCGTTGGCTGAGAAGCAAAACGGAGCAAATTTTCTAGCCCTCCTTCATCTTTGCATTTACTTTGGTGCCCTCCACATGCCCGTGGGGTTTCAGGCTCTGTGGCCTCAATTTAAATTTTTGAAATGGTGCTGGTCAAAGAGATGTGTGGAAAAACGGCCATAAATGCCCAAAGGCATTTTCGAATTTTGAACTCTTGACGTGATAAGATAGCTCCCAAGACGCCTTAAACTGGTAGTGATTTTCCTTAGAAACGCTGCGTTGCGACGTTGCCACTTTTTGAAGTGAAAACCTTTAAAAATTCATAACTTCTCTGCATCTCAACCGATTGCAATGAACTTTTTTTTAAAATGTTCCTCTTAAATGGAGCTTTCTAACGATGTATAGTTTGTAGGGGTTACTTGGCAATGGGCGGCGCCCAAGGGGAATTATTTTAGTTACAGACGCTACATTCTGTGCATTAAACTGTGCATAAGATGGTCTGCTCGGTCCGTAAAATTCAAAATTTTTCAAACACTAAGAAATGTACCTTACTCTCTTTAACGCTGAAAATTTTTGTTTAAAAAGAATGTATACAAAGCAAGATCTAGGTCAAAGAAGACTGTTGCGGACGTTACAAAAAGGACCTCTCAACTTTAAAGACCATTTTTTTACTTTAATTTTTATAGAAACTATTTACTTCATCTATATGCTGGTTGGCTCTGGTAACATCTCATCGAGACCAATTTTCAGTTAAGTATCAAGCTCAAATGAAGTTTATATGAGGTTGTAAATCTCACAGATGCAATATTAAGTGATTAAAAATTGCTCCAAACATAACCTTAAAACTCACTGATAGGAACATGACTTTAGAAAAACTGAAAAATCTTGCGAATTGGGAACTTGAAACAAAAAGTGAACTCATTTCATAAAATTGAAGGTTTTTCCTATTCGGTGCACAAAATTTTATCGCGCTAAAGTTGAGTCGATTTTTTAACCTTGAAGGTCCCGTTTAGAAATAATTCCCCCTAAGCGGTTTAAGTAGTCTGAAAAAAAACCAGTCGAAATGAATGTTTAACCTTTCACCTTCGTAACGAGCACAAGATAGTAGTCGTATTTTGTTCGGAACAACAAATTGTTTTTGTTTTTTTTCTTGTTTCTTTTACGTAATTCTGAACAGCAATGAGAAAGCGAATTCCAATTTTAGGTTAGAAAGCAGCGTTGCCTTGGGCAACAACATAAAAGCGACTTGCCTCTGAGCACGTTGAAGTTGTTGTACAACAATGTTGCTGTAGGGGTCCCCAAATTTTGCGTGTGAAAATAATCCCCGCCCCCACAACACAAAACAACCTCGGACAAAATGCTTGTTTTCCCAACATGTTGCGAGTGTTGCCCCCGAACAAAACACGACTCATCCCGGGGAAATGTCTAATTTTCAAGATACAACCGCTCAAAGATTGTCTAAGGCGGTTTTACGCAATCAGAAACCACTGCCAGGACTGCACGACGTTCAATTCATCGTGCAGAACGGCTTTCTTAAGATCCATTAGTTACAAGGAATGGGTAGTCAAGAAATCTGAATCAGACAGATTTCTTAGCTCAGGCTTCCGGGTTGCAACGTTGCCATTATTTAAAAAGAAAATCTTTAGAAATTCATAACTCTGCTGGATCTTAAATAGAGGTTTCCAGTGATGCATAGATGAATGGATCTACTCAGCACTGGGCAGCGCTTACGCGCTTTTAACGGTTCTTTGCAGGAATTTTCTAATGAACCGTCAAAACTGCATAAGTGCAGCCCAGTGCTGAGTAGATCTATTCAAACCCTTCAATGCCATGAAAATGGATCCATTTTTGTGACAGAAAATCATTGTAGAGATCTCATTAGCCTTCAGTGGTAGAGAATTACAGACCTCACCCATTAACCTTCTTTATCTTTAATGTCTACTTTCATGCTTCAACATGCCCCAGGGATCTAGGGTGTTGACTCAATTTGAATTTTTATGATTATATCTAGAGGGGTAGACTCAATTCGCATTTCCACAATTTTGCGGGTAGTGTACAAAATTCATTTTTTCCAGTGGTAAAAATGGATGGACCTGTTTTTGAAGTCAATTTATGAAAGTCTCCTGAACTATTGGTCAAAAATTGTATAATATGTATTCAAATGAAATGATTTAATAGGATTATTTAATGCAAAGTTTGTAGGACAAAAAAGATTAAATTTTAGCGAAATTAAAAACATATATTTTTTCTTTTTTTTTAATTTCATCCACAAATGATTGTAATGATAGAAAAACATTTGACACTGGAAACATACTGCACATAATACAAGTTTAACAAACCAAAAAAGGTTAGAAAAAAGAAAAATCAATGAACTATTGCACCAAATGCATTAGTTTCTACATGAAAAGAAGGAGAGGAGGAAAAATGGAGCCAATTTTATAGATAACTAAGGGTATACCTACATAAATTAAAGAGATGCAGCTTTCTCACTCAAGGTGCTCTCAACACAGCTAAGGACGGATTTAAAAAAATTCGTGGGATTTCTTAAATGCTAAAATAGTTAAAACTTTTTTCAGAGGATCTTCAGAGACAGTTGAGACCTTCTGAAAAGATCCAATATGAACTACCAAAAGCACTGCTCAGCATTTTTACTTATGAAAATAAAAGTTCAGCCTAAAGTCTTTTTCTATTTAAAAAGTTTAGAACACATAATTTGAGCTGCTAATAAAAAATAAAAACTCTGTTGAAAAATGGAGGGATAACAAAGCACTTCAAAGTATAGTGTAATTGCACAAAAAGTGTATAAATAATTTTGAGAGTTCTATTATTGTCAGATTTATGTAAATATATATATATGTATGTATATGTAAAAGAGTAAGCACGATGATTTGAACGAGATTTGCCCGAGATGCTCTTGCAAACAGTCCAATATGATCAATTCATCAAAAATATTAGGCTTGATCGCACATATTGTTGAGTATTGATGAGCCTTATTTTTACAGAAATTGACTCATAATTCGATAGTATAACGAAAGTACACAACAAAGTATTTACAATTCACAATCTTTCATCCGGCTCTCATTAGAAAAAAATAAAAATAAAACACGAAGTTTGAAAAATAAGAGTCAAGAATTATTCTTCTATGATTTGACACCTCTCTGGCCTGCAAAAATCTAGCAGATACACGAAGAGTAATGTTGGGTCAGAAACGATTGTTCATTGCATATCAATTCAGCTATTAACTGTCACTGCTTTCAAAGACGAGATTTCAAAACCTTCAGACAAGAAAAAGAAGGACATCTCTGCAGCATTAATTGTGAATCTTCCTCACAATTCTGATGATTTATTTACAAGTTTATCTTTGCATTATTCTAACAAAATAATTTAAATTTCATAAAAACGAATAAATTATATATAAAAATAGATTTAACTTTAAAGCCTTAACACTGTATAAAATTATGAAACACAATTAAAAGTAAGTCATTTGAATTCAACATAATAGAAAAGTGATGTGGACACACATAGAGCTGGGATAAATTGAAATCTCAATTACCCTTTTTTCTATGAGATGAACAAAATAAATGCAATTAAAAAAATAGCTGTAGTTGTCAGGAAAATTAAAATTCAAGCTTTCTCATAGAAGCTGCTCCCTGAGATCTGTAACAAAACAAAACACGAGCTCTTCAGGTAAGCTTTTCAAAACATATCTAAATAATTATACAAAACAGATTAAAGTACAGACATTAAAACAGTGCACATTGGAGGAAACGTGGTGCTACAACTAGTTCGCGTGAATGGAAACTATCTCTTTGCTGCTTTAAAACAGAGCAACACATTGCAATGTGACCAAACGGTTTTTCTTCTTCTCTTTTTCTGTGATCGAGCTCATTTTTTCCCTGGAATTGGCACACAGAAAGTTCCACTTTATAAGCTCATCGAGCTCAGGGGGTTGCAAGGAACATCATACCGAGTAGATCGAGAGTTAGCCAGCACTGCATTTCTTACTATTGTGTTTGTGGTCCTTTACCACTCTGTGACACTAAAGAGCGCATTTCTCTTTCAGACAAATGTATTTTCGTCTATAAGATACTTCAGTCATAACTCTACCAATAATTGTTCAATTTAGAAACCAGGAATACTGTTGTTCTCAGCTCAGTCAGTTGTTTTTACTTCTGAATGAGGATCAAGCAGACATCTGGAAATTATCCATTGACTTGTCTGAAGTGCAGTGTTCATAGGAAGATGGAAAAAAGTTGGCACACTCACCTACAACTTAGTTGGATTTTTTCTTGACACGTTTCCTGTTTTTCCTCTTTTTACTAATATTTAAGGCCTGCTCATCAGTTGTTTGAGCATTGATGGCGGCAGTGACAGAAGCACCGTCTTTGTTCTCACCGTCAAACTCCTCCTCATCTTCCTCTTCATTCTTGTCATTCTTGCTGTCAGGCGAACATAACTCCAGGGAGATTATCTTTTCTCGAGTCGTTTCAACCTGCCAAAAATAAAAAGTGAAGTCTTGATTAAATAGATCATACAAGAACTACTAGGCAGAAAAGAAATATTTTTGAATTTATCCTCTAACCCAAACAACATGAGCAACATTAACAATGTTATTTAACTTTAATTAAAATATTTTAACTTCATTGCAAGGGATCTTAGTCTAAAGTTAATATTCCTCAATTTGCTTGGTTTGCGGACTAAGTTGTAGGAAATTATGGACTCTGTCGTGTTATTATGAAAAATAAAAAAATAGAGGAACCAAATAAACTCGAGGAAATGGCTTGTAAATGCAGTATTTTAGATTGAAGATAACTCTATTATGATGATGAATAAATGATGAATTATTACGATCCTGTCTTCATATTTACAACACAATAGCTTTTAGGGTAAATGAATTTGGTCCTAAATGATTTTTTAGAAATTCTTAAAAAATTATAACAAGTCAAGTTTGTTGCATTGTTAAAGTTAATTAAGTAATAAATAGCACAGCACAAAAAACACATTAAAAATAGAATAAAAAGATATGTATCATTTGACTTCAACTACAATAAAAGATAGCTGCTTCGTTAGATGGTTGTGGCGCAATGCTTGAGTGCTGAGATACAGTTATCATAATTGTTGCTTAATTCTTTTATTCGTAGTTCAAACATTTAAGTTTAGTTTTGTTTTTGGGACCTCAAATTTTGAATTGCTCCTAATATTGCGCAAGGAGGGAGAGGGTAGGGGGGGAGGACCAGCGCATAATATGCTGTTCATGTACTGGTGGCGGTTAGAAACTCGGGATGGCCAGTAATAAGGACACTTTTAAAAAACCTGAGAGAAATTTGAAAAAATGAACACAAATTTAATGCGTGCATAAATTTTTATGGCAATGAAGTTTGTATACATTACTGATAATTTTTCTGTATGCACAAAAAATTAATTTATGAAATGCTAACTCCTAAAATTGATCAATGGACATTTTCCTAATTAATTATTTTTCAATCAGTTGAGAGCAAGGCAGAGATAACTCGTGAGCCTACGCAACAAAGCAGAAAAAAGTTTAAATCTATGCTTCAGAACAATTGCATAGGTCTTAGTGACTTTGCATGCAACGATAAAATTGTGCTGTGTGATGATCTACCTCCATCAAAAGAATAAGGAGTGTCTACTTTTAGACTAAATCAGAGTGTGAACACTTAAAATCATTATCTTACAGATCTGTTAAGCAATTAAGAGGCAATTCAAGTGAAAATACTGTAGCTACAAGACTAGGAGGAACGAGACCATTGAAAATAAGCTCATTGAGCCTGCAGGGATCCAATTGCTACCTTTCCAAAAAAATATCCTGTCAAAAAGGAAGAGTTGAGAAAACTCTTGGATATAAAATGCTGTGAATTGCTTGAATTATTTTCGGAAGGAGGATCTAAAAAACTACATTTTAAGTTAATCTCGAAGGAAAAAGTTTATCTGCTGCAGGTGGGTATGGAAAATTTTGGGACTTTCACGTTTACGGGACCTTTGACTTATTATTCTTCAAGGTCATTCCCATGAATTTTGCAAGATTCAAAGAATCTGTAAATTCTTTGCTCCCTCGAAGAAGGAACGTATCTTGTCTGCCCTGTTTCAGTATTTCTACAAACATAACCTCGTTCATGAGAGAACCACCGCAAAATCTGTCTGAAAATTTTGATGTCCATTCTTAGACGTGTGAAGATAAATCCTTGGCTATTTCAGGCAAATTCATAGGACAGTTTAAAAAAAAAAAATAGATAAATAAATAAAAAGTCAACAAGAAATATTGAAACAGTGCAATCGAGACAGGTTCCGTCTTGTGGGAGGCGACGAATCGTGTGAAAACAACCCTAAATATTGAGTTGTCTGTGGAACTCATGGACTTATAACACCGATTGTGTTTTAAGTCTATGGTGGAACTGCATTAAAAAATGTGCTACACAAAAAATATAAATGCAATTTCTGATAGTGGTGATAAACCATAAGGTGCTCTAATGAAAAATTCCATGACGGAATGTGAACTGCGGTGCTAAATAACAGCTGCGACTACATACTACTGCGTTTGATGGTAGGAGGAGAGTTCAAAGAGAGTCTAAGAGGAGAGTCAGGCAAAATACTGTGAATAGAACCAACAGGAATACATTTATAGAGAAAAGAGGGAAAAGATACATTTTATAATTTCATTGTCAGTGTTTTACCCATATTATCCTCGCACTCACTTTTACAAGTTGAATTTTGAGTACTATTTGGTGAACTAACTTTTTAGAAGAAGTTTTAGAGTGGTTAAAATACTACCTATGTTCTTCTTTACATGATATCCAATGGCAACTAGCCAAATGAGCTGGATTAATGGGTCATTTCTTCTGAAGCGTCTAACAATAAGAGCGACCAGAGATTTTATTGACAATTATTTTACAATTTGTCTTTACAGCCCAAACATTGGAGGGTATCTCCTCTGAAGTGTTTGCTACCCCAGGCATATGAAAAACAAATTTTCAAAACCTCCTGAGGATTCTTGAACATACATATTTCATTTCATTTGAGAAAAAAGGCAACTGATTGCATAACCTTTCAAGTCACCTGTTTCTCGGTTTTCTGATTAGTAACATGATACAAAAGCAAGCCAAAAAAAGCACTGAAGTTTTAAACTCTGAGTGAGAGAGTATCACGAATCAAGGTATTAAGTGGCATTTTTGTTAAAAAAAAAAAACGAGATTTTAAGTAAAACTATACTTGGTTGAATACTGCGGCATATTCCACTGCAATAATTTCAAGTTGATTTGTGTATTGGGCTTCCTTAGAAATTTCCAAGCTTAAATGTTTTGTTTTCCAAAATTACGTGCGTGTTGCTTACCTCTTTCATCTGTGATATGCTTCTGTTATGAACAATTTAAACACTCCAAGATTCAAAAGTGCTCCAAATGCTTGAATTCAATAATTGTGCATTGAAATATGTCTAGAGATAAAATTCATGTGCCTACAGAGAAATCAAGCTTTTTAAATGCTACGATGTTTTTCGTTTTTATCAAGCACTTTTCAAAGTCACACAAACTTTGAAAACCACAGAGTGTTTGTCACGCTCACAATAATATATAACTAGTAACGCAATTGGAAAAAATCGCTGCGCAAAATGGAAAACTTCAACTCTTTCAACTCAATAGTTCAGATTTTTCAAGATTCCTCTGGCTGCAGGATCAATTCTTTAAATTCTTGTTCAGCTCTTGGGCTATTGACTTCATGGAAGACCAACAACTTACATGACATTGCATGGCAAAAGGAAGGTAATATTTGATATTTTGTAAAAAATATTAAACAATATCAATATTTGGTAAAAAAAGAAGGGAGAGGGGAGAAGGCCCATTCCTACCTCACATTATCCGTGTGATTTTTAATTGCTGATGATAGTAATTTTCTGGTAGAAGATTGGTCCTGTCTAAATTCAAATAAAATTTTGACTTGAGAATCGATTTGAGATGCAGGCAAGTCATCTGTTCTTTAATTCTATTAACCAGTTACAAGTTTCTTGCTTCCATTTTTGTTTAAACCAGCCACAAACAAACAAGGTAAGGAATAAGCGAAAAAACGAGCAAACAAACAAACTAACAGACAGACAGACTAACAGACAAACGAACAAACAAACAAACAAACAAACAGCCACACAAACAAAAAATCTCAATTAACAGGTGGAGCTTTTAATAAACAAAGAGTAAGCCACACATCGAAACAAAAAGCAATTCTGATACAACAATGAGACCCTTGGGAAACTCTGCATTTCACAAAATTAGATAAAATTTGCAACTAAACTTTCGTTTTGATGAACCACTAGACAAGGAACGAATTTCAGCATTGTGATATATGTTCCCTCATCACTCACTTGAAACACAATCCGCACAATAAAAATACCCGACCAAGAAACTCCTACTAGCCAAGATATTAAAATTTTAATTTAGCACTGGTTACAAAAAATTTGAAATTCCTGCTTGTGAGAAAAAACAGAGTCTACGTAAATCAAATTGTGCGCCACAAAAGTTTCAGCAGGCTTCTTAATTAAGCAGTGTTCCTTCCCTGTCCTGTGTTGTTAAAAGTGAAGGAACGACATGCGACAGCTGAGCTGAAGTGTTGAGATTGAGGTTGCTGTATTTTTAAACTACTGAGACAGTTAAGGCTACGCTCAAAGTGCAATTTAAACTCTTGTGGATTATGGCTTTTATAAGAGCGGAAAGTTTGAATTTAAGCATCAAAAAACACTGATATTATGACTTTCAGTAATTTTTGCAGCACAAATCATGTTCTATGTAAAATTTTGAAATGATAATAAACGTCATAATGCTTAAAGTTGCACCTTGTCTATTTTCTTTCATGGTGACAACAATGGACTAATGGTCGAACTCTGATGCAATCGAGGCAGTACTGCTTTTGGCAGTTAGTGCGCTTGCTAGCGCAAAACAGCTTACAGCTAGTTTTTTTCCATTTGTTGCTTTTATTTTCCTTCTTTTGTTCTAAAAACGTTAGTTGGTAAGATGTTTGCTCATGTAAAATATACATAGAGGATTTAACTGAAAAAATACATTAACAGAGTAAAAGCAAGTGTTGGTTCAACAAAGCAATGGTGTGCTATCTCACCATTTTTCTTTCAACCTGATTCATCAAGAGGATAAAATTTTTGTAAACTGCTACACTCAGAAAGCTGACAAATATAGAATAGAGTGTTTTTAAGATGAGATACTCTCTACATCAGACCGGTCAGTGTTACGTAAAATTTGTTTCAAAAAGAAAAAAAAAACAATTAATGCCAATTACCGATGGTCAATAATCAATGAAAATTTTATGAATTTCACTTTGACAGGATGCATGTACGGAAAATGCTTGAAAACATATTAGTTTGGGTGAACTCTTATGAATTTAGCTGACCTCTTCATCCATATGCCAAGGAGAGGATTTTTAAAGACCAATTTTATCCGTAGGTCTGATAAAGGTAATGTGAACAGCAAGTATCTCTGACGCAGCTACATATATTTATCAACAAACTAACAAAATAGATACGGCAGTTTTTTACTTCTATATTGTATTAACTTCGTTATGAGTACTGAAAACGATACTTGCATCGAAGAGAGGCTTAAAAATGCTCAGAGACAGAGAAAAATGTGACACATTAAAAGGTTAACAACATTCTAACCTTTTTGTATCAGAGAATTCAGATCAGCATAAGACATAATGTCCATGCAAAAACAGGCTTCAATCATGCTTAGGAGAGATCTATTGGGCTCGGATCACAACACCATGCTCAAGAAGGGAGTTTGAATGCTAGCGAACACCATGCCATGTTGATTTTGGTTCACCTCTTTTTCTATCAGCTTTTCGACGATTTCGACCGTACGAACTTTGCGTTCGCCCGTTTTCTCGTCGTAGTATTCTTCCGTTTTAGTCGTCACCGTTTCGCCCAGAACTTTTTCCCGCTCACAAACTCGCGTTTCACCAGGCGACTCCCTCATCAGTAATTTTGGGAAATCTTCACTTGACGGGCGAAGCCACTATAATATGAGTTAAATAGCAAATGCATCACATCAGCATGCATACCAAACACCAGAATTAGTCATCATCATGGACAAAAATAGCGAATCAAGGATAAGGCACATCTTACCAAGGAATTTAGCGCAGATAAAATTTTGTTAGTTCTTGATGTAATGTTCCTAATGACCTTCTAAACGCAATGGACTTTAAACTGAAACTTTCTACATGCCAATTTTCAAATAGTTTGGACTGGAAATGAAATCTTTCAGCTTTTTTATACCTTATTTCTCTTCAAAAATATAGCATTGCCACCGTGTCTGCTCTGCAAATGAACCTGGTATTCATAATAACTTTAGTTCTTTGACATTTTCAATTTATTTATTCATTCAAATCGACTGATCTAGTCTTGCCAGTCTCAAAGAAAATGCAGTATGCCCGAACCATGCAATGTCTGTTTTGACTCTCTGGTATAAGAGGGCGAGCTCTCCTTCATTAGAAATTTGATGGTGTTGCATCATTTCTGGGTATCAGGAAAGAACTTTGTCCAAAAATGACCTTTTCAGCCCTAATTTACTTGAAACTGGTCCATTGTAAGTCATATTCTTGAGGCCTATTATGGTCAGATAGCCATAAAAAGTATCATTATATCCAATGTTAAGAAAATTTCATTAGCCTTCCTCAACTGTGCCTTATCCTTTATGAAATACATACTTACGAACGTTTCAAATTTTGAAACATGGCTGCTCAAGACAGGGTGTCTACAGAGTGTCTTTGGTACCTTATAATCTCAGATCTTTGCTTTATTTGCGATACTTTTTCTTTGCTTCCAAAAAAATTCCTATTTTTTACAGCTTCCTCAAATTCTTGCTATTGCAAACTTTTGCCATTTGTTAAACGCATTTTAAATTAGAGAAAGGCAACATTTTTTTATTTATTTCCAGACCAAACAGTAAATTTGATGTAGATGGTTCAGAAAGTGGAAAGTATAAATACTGTCTGAGTGAACCAAAACATACAAAATTGGACTGAGATAGTGCGTGAATATGATGTAGTAGCATATGGAGCGAAATTGAGTGCCCTAATGTCTGTTTTAGGAGCTTATCCTTAAAATATCGTACATCAACACCTTTTCACGAAAAATATGTACATTTTCTATGCTTCAATAACAAACTTTCAAAACCTGTGTTTTTTCAGTATACCCGCATTTTTTCTGTGCAGTAGACACCCTATGAAAAGCCATGGCCTTCTATTGACAAATTTAGTTGTATAGTTTAAACCAAAAACATTTACTGGAGATTATATTTTAACAATCTTTGGATCAAATAATTAATAATTTAGCTCATAAAAACTCACAGTGAGGGATGGAACCTAGACTGTCGGAATGTTAAAATGCGAGCTTTCAGAGGGAAAAATAAAGTTGGCTATATTTAAAGCAGGTATTAGCTACGCAGTTTTTATACTTAGTTATTTAAGAAGTGTTCTGACAATCTTTTCTCAACCATTTTGACACGAAAGTCATGTGAAATAAAATAAGATTATTTTTTCTTTCATTGTTAATAATGAAGAAGGTAGCCATGGATTCTCCAGCAAAAATTTTATGAGCAAAGTTATCATGATGATACTCATTGCAGTAAAATACAAATTCAAAATCAATGAAATCAAAGGAGAGAAAAAAAAAACAAAAAAAAAATATCATCCAAAAATGTTTCCCCTAATGAGACCTGAATATGAAATTTATGCATAGATGATAGAAAAGGGATGATATCACCTGAGCATGCAAAATAATTAATAAAAATGTTTACAATGAAACCCAATCCAATCACCATTTTGAAGGACTGCTGCACCCTCGGCAAAGGTAAAAGAGAAATTGGTTGAAGACTCAAACTTTTGAATTAAAATAGACAGAGAAAAAAAGATTCGTCTTAATGCCAAGTTTCCATATCCACTATTATTAAGATTATTGAAGCTTTCGAAAAATGCAGCACGGGTGCATACCGATAGTTTTCTTTTGGCTTCATTGGTCAGAGTAGATAAAATTTGCACCAAACACTCGACTGGCAGCATTTGATTTGATAATATGCATAAATAGAGAAACAGGGTGCAACAGTTCTCCTTAGCTTACTTTGAGCAATTCACAGCTTAGGAGCATAATTAGTCAACAGATGAAACTTAAATCGATGGTTGATGCATGCATCAGTTTAAAAACTGAATAAAAAAAGAAAAAACTTATGCTTTTATACTATTTTCCCTCAAGTTGCGATCATTTCAACGCAACTAAATCAATACTGTCAATTGATTCACAATTGGGACAACCTGCTACGAGGGTTGAGGGGATAGAACAAAAATGCAATGAGCATTTACGCAGTTCTATTTGCAGGGGTGCAGAAAGTTCCAAGCCTTCCCCCAAGTTCAATCAAACTTCTCCTATTTTAATCAAAATTTGTGATGCTGACTAAAGAACCATAAACAAGATTATGCAATGTGAGTACAACTGCGCATTTTAAGGGTAAACTGAAAGGATGCAGTCGTAAAACAAGGCACAATTTGATTCGCTGGAAACACTATCTTTCAGCTGGCTGTGATTATAAAATGGAAATAAGTAATTTCCTCCTTGTCCGTAGGCTAAATCTCTTGTAATTTTCCTGTGGTGATCGCGCGCCAAAGTGGTATTTTTTTTTTTTTTTTTTTTTTTTTTTTTTTTTTTTTTAACTTAAAGTTTGAAAGATGGTTACAAAACTCATCATGATGTTGGAATTGGGAGAATTCCAAACAATTCTTGAGAGGCTGAATTAGTTTTCAGAATTTTCGAAAATCAATGCAAAACAGGATTTTGGGTGGTCAAATATTTGGAGGCAATCAGAGTGATTGGCGGCGACAAACACACGTTCTCTCTCATACAAGCACTTATTCTCTATTAAAAATTGCGAAATATGCAGGAAAAAATAAATCACTTTCACACCATAAGACTTCTAGAGGGGTTGCTAAGTCTGTGAAATGTCTGAATAGAAGAGAGACAGACAGAATAGGCACATGATCAGCGCATGAAAATAGAAGAATTGACTTCACTAGGATATTAAACTGTTCAATTGTTCATGAGGACGTTAACACATACTTGAACATGTTTTAAACACTTTTACATCAACTTAAGATGGAAATAGGCATTATATTGATTTTGACGAACTGCTTATACCGCGATTTTTTGGGAGAGGAAAAAATTAGTTAACAAAATTTCCATACAACATCATTAAGCGGACATCAGTCCCTAATTAGGCTAGAATGATGGGAATAACTGCTCTACAAAATGTGGTAGACACTGAGTAGGTAATATTGATTAATATTGTAGATTAAGTGCATCTATCAGTACAAACTAAGCTTCAAACTAAAGTTCCGATAAAACCTAACAAGAATAATAACAGAGAAGAGAGAGCCTAGCCTAAAAAACATACGAATGTGAGGCTACGAACGAGGAGTAAGAGAAAGGAGGGGTAAAAAGAGAAAGATAGATATTCACGTCTGTGGTGTGTTGCACTGGACACAAGGCTTCGGAACTCAAACTACAAAAACCCGCAGGGCAAATGCGAAAAGCCTCGAGTGTTAGGCTGAAAAAGTTTTATTATAGTTCAATCTATAATTGAGAAATTTCTACTTATTGCTTCAAATTTTTTGGAAATCTAACGTCAGTAAAAATTATGCGATATTGGATTACTTAACTGATGAACAGTAAAAATATTTGATTAAAAGACACACAATACTTAGGACACTCTAACTTTCACTTATGATGTTTCATGGTTAAGATGCAGTACAGCCGCTTCCCTGGCCACCAACATCACTCGATTGTTCATGTAAAGCTCTCACTCTCTCTAAATGTCGGGAATTAGCTTGCATGAGCATATTAATTTCAGTTGTTGGCATTGAGAGAGGAGGGTTTGAAATTAAAAAAAAAAAAAATATTTTCCTCACTTTCTTAGGTAAATGTTTTATTATGTAATCTGTTTCCGAAACATTTCAAGTCTGTGTTCATTATCTTTTTCCCATTTTTGTAATTTTCTCAACTTTCTATGATACTTCATTCAGATGCTTTCCGAGTTCCCCTTATCAATTTAGGGTTAAAATCAATGTCGTACTCTTCGTCACAAAAGCGTGTGGCTACAGCCGATTTGTCTAATATATCTTTCTAAGCAGTGTTCTTTCTATACTCTATGATAAGAGCTTATGAGTTACCTGGTTTGATATGATTGAACACAAATGCTTCCCTCTAATTTTGAATTTTAGCTTAGAGAAACTATTATTTGGATTTTTTTCAAGAGTCTGTAAAGGAGCCTTAATTGATAAATGGTACATGAGAATGGCTAGATCCGACATGGTTGAACAGTAACCGAGTGATGATTTTAGTTAACACCCTATGAAGAGAATTAAAAATCATACAGACATTAATAGGAAACGAAAACAGGACAAACAGAAAGAAGTATAAAGCTCCTTACCTCAACAATATTGTTCTCTTCATCTGGAGTGGCTGGCCTGTTTATGTTGGCATCATTATTGTAGTTGATATTGTTAATATTGTTGCTGTTGAGTGTAGCAACCGCGTTTTCGATAATTGTGGACTCGGCATTGGCCAAACTGTTCCGATTATTTCTATTGTCGATTGTCTCGCTCATTTCACTTATCTTTTTGATGACAATCTGAGCTTGTAAAGCATCCTAAAATAAAGTATGTCAGAGGATCAATAATTAGTTTTGCAACTCAGACAGAATTAAAAAAAAATACTACCAGTTTTGAAAATAACTCACCAACACTGACATTTGCCCTGGTTTTCATTGACCAGTGAAAATTGTCTCTCCAGTCAATTGGTGGTTAGATAAACGAACAAAAAGTTGAATTTATTTACACTAAATAATTTTGCTGCTATTGTTGACTGTAAAGTTTTTTAATGCAGAGGGCGCATAATACAAATATTTGATAATCTTCTTACAGTAATCATAGATCGGGTCAAAAGCTTAAAACTACAGACATGAGTCAACAAACATTAAGCATAATAGAATTATAAAAAATTGGAAAAATTATCAATGAGAATTCACTCTTGATTTCTTGATTTGCCAGGTGGACTGTACCAGCGGCCCATGTAACAGCTTGTTTTCCTCTTTGAGGAGAAAAATGAACACTTTAAATGCTACAGAGACAGAAAAACATCTTGATAGACTTTCAAACAGAACCTTGCCCCAAATTGTGTAGGGAAAAACTGGCTGGCTTACATATGAACATGGAGGAAATTCACAAACTGATTGCGGTGGACTTTGCGGTGATTGATAGAGGAAATAATGATTGGTTTAGCCTTGACGAACACTTTTGATCGATTAAAGGCACAGTGTTCTGTAAAAAATGAGGGACCATTCTCCCCTAGCATATTTCTGGCTCTATGCAATTGTCAATCTTTAATTTTCACATTACTGTACAGCGCAGTTGCATTCTTGCTGACAAAGAAAAAAAATTAAGATGAACTGACCTGCTCAAGGGATTTTAAACGAGCTTGCCGCCACGCAGCTCGTTTTTCAGCATTGAGAGCTCTTTGTTCTGCACGCGACAGCTCCTTATCTAATTCCTCATCAGTAAGCAAGCCCTGTCAACAAAATCAATCACATTAAGGAGGGCTAGATATAATTTATTTAAGTATTCAAGTAACTTTGATCTAAAGCATGATTGTAGTTACATAATATTTTATTAAAATTTGAGGAAGTTTCCAAGAAATAGAGGTGATGCCTAAAATTTAGAGCAAAACAACTAGACAGCTGCAGTTTATTTTAAAAATGTATTTTGGGCAAGTTGATAACAAATGAGAATACCTAAATTTTTCCGCTATTCACTTCATCAAATTTTAGATGAGAAAAGAACTTTCAAAGATGTTCAAAATATGCCTAAAAATATTCATTAATGTTGAGCATGCCGATGAGTGAGACAAACCAATGTGTAACAGAAAACTTACATCTTGGATAAGTCGATTTTTCATCCGTTTTTCAGCTTTAGCAGTTCGAATGACTCCAGGGGAGGTTACATCTTGATTAAGAGGTGCCAGCATTGCATTGGTGTTTCTGGAGGCAAATAAAGCATAAATTTAGAGCATAACCAACATTTGCAACTTCTTTAAGGTTTAAACAGAACTGGTGAGCAAAAATATTTATCAAGGTTGCCACAGAAATTAGAAACTGAAATTCTCTGACATTTCCCGGATTTTCTTTATAAATTTTGGTAGAATTCCCTGACATTTGAGAATAGGCTAGATGGTTAAAAATCACCACTTACTAACTCGAGCACACATCTTATGTTCGAAACGTTAAACACATTCTGGAAAATAAATAGAAGGGATCAAACCCTTTTTCCTTAAAAATTTATCAGTTTCTCTGATGTTTCCTGGTTTTCAATGCCTTTATAAAATTCTCCGACTTTCCCCGGGTTTCCTGCTTATCCCTGTTGTGACAACCCTGATTAATACTCTAATTTGGAGTTATCACCACCATCATTCACTTAATTTTCTTGACCATAATTTGGTTTTTGATTAGTTTCAGAATTGCTGAACATTTTTAGAGAAGTTTGGTGTGAATAAATTACGAGGTAAATTTTAGGAGAATTACCAATTTTCAGTCAACAAAAGAATAGCATACGGAGGGAAGAACATCATTTTTACAAGATTGATTTAATCTGTGGAAAAATCTCAAAATTAGTTGAGATCAATATGTAATGAGATAAATGCTACATCATTCTTCTCAAAATACACTTTTTTTTGTGCATGTAACCCTCGGGTGCGTCAAAAAAATGAAAGTTTGCAATGTTACGCTTCCCAGGTGGTAATCAATGCCACTTCGTAAAAAACATTTTTGCCAAAATTTGAGCTAATTTCAACCAATCTTATTTTGGCAAAAATGTTTTTATACCAAGTGGCATCGATTCGGAGCATAACATTTCAAACTTCCATTTATTTTGACGCACCCTAATGTAACCTCTTGCCCATCTCACAGGCAAAGAGAGAATTAAAATGATGCTGACTTCGAACCGAGATTTTCCTTGGTGACTTTAACAAGTCTTGAAGCCTGAGTAGATGATTTCAATTCAAACTAATATTGACACAAGGATCAAAATTTGAAAACGTCTGAAAAAAAAAAGGCAAAACTTCCTGTGTTTAGAACTTTGCTCTTCACAAATATCTATGACTCCAATCAGGTAAATCTTGCCATGTGATTCAACATTTCGAGGATCTTTTTGAGTCATTATACATTTGAGCATTGATTGTAATGATTGATTGTAATTGATTGTATGGGTAACAGAAACCTACGATTGACAAGTTAAAGACAATGAAGTTACATTCATTACTAAAAAAATGTTTACTACAAAAGTACTCACTGTATCACAAAGGCATCAGAACCAGATAGTCCATTTTCCTCATCTTCTTCACCGGCTTCACCCATAAAATCTTCTGCGTGAGTTTGCAGCAATTTTAAATCGCCTTTTGATAATGTTGCTATTTTTTTTTCTGGTGGAGCAAAAAAAGAAAAATATGTTACAAAACGATGGTAAAAGTTTAGAGCATGGTAAAGTGGAAAATTCTAAGAGGTCTGCTTCTCCAATCACTGATCAACCTGTAAATACACATTAAACCATAAACTAAAAATCACATATTTTGGTTTAAATCCTCACAGATTTTCTACCTTATTAAAGACTGATTGATTACGAGTATTGCACAAAATTTCTTGCTGTAAATCATTTCCCTTTGAGGAATTTTTCAAAAAGTTTCACACCAAACTTTCTGATATGCTCCTATCAAGACACTTGTTTTCCAAGGTCTCACTGTCTATATAAGCAAGGTGGCTGCTTTACAGCTGACACCTATACCATTAACTTTCGATTACTGAAATTTTCATGTAATATCACTTTTAAATTTTAAATCTACTGTCCTAATTTTCATGATTTCACAGCTTTTCACAGGTATCAATTTTCAGGTGAGCCCCATATTATTAAACTAGGGACTGGATGCTAGCTAGTTGATAAGTTGTCAAAAATAAAAAAAACAAAAACAGACTGAAGCTTCCAGCTTAAACGTACAAAATTAGCATGTGAAAAGAAAGTCAGCAGTAGATTAGTGAGAGATTGGAAAGGTAGAAAAATCTGGCACCACTCAAAAAATAGTGGCTGCATGGTCTCTTAGGCCAACAAGTGCTCTCGCCATTACTATGTAGACACTGTTAACACCGGAGCTATAAATTAGACGTACAGAAACTTTTGCTATGCTGAGGGGTCATGAAGGTTCAGAATAGGTAACTTAAAAATCCGCCCTTAAAATTTCATTTTTCCGAGTGTTTTAGAAAGATTAATAAAACAAATGTTGATGATTATTTACATTGATCCAGTGACAAAAGTATGACTTTTTTTTACTATAAATAGGACCTGACAGAAATTTAAAAAGACTACTGAATGGCAGGAAGATGGATTATTTCAACATTATTTCCGAAAAGTAGACCTTGAGAATGTGATTCTGGCTCACCTTCTTCTTGCTTCAACTTTTCTAGTTCATCTTGGCTCAGGAAACTGAAAGTCCTCTCTGCAATGAAAGGGACAGAATTGATTAGTATGTACTGATTGATATTCAAGTTTAGAAAATTAAAAAAGGGTGCTCTCCGTCTCTTCCACCCCCCCCCCNCCCTTGACCTTCGAGATAATGATACACAAGGTCTGTTTTGGTTGCAGTTAAAAATAGTTGCAAAATGTAGACGTGAAGGTACAAAGATCAGTTTCGTTTGAGGGTTGAATTTTTTTTCCTTTCTTTTTTTTTAGCACAAAAAAATTCATTGAGGTTGTCAAGTCTGGATGGAAATGATGAGTCTGAGCTTTTTTGAGTCGTTCATTTTTTTGCTCTTAGAGTGGTTTTGAAATGTATTTAATCTTCTCGGTATTTTAGAAAAAAAAACTCAGGAAAAACTTGTGATAGGCCCTTAAATACTGAAAAAGATCTGTTGGTCAAAAACAGAGAAATTGAGAAAATTGCTTCAATTAAGGTGTTCAAAGGACAAAATTTTTCCCACGATTACATGGAATTAAGAAGAGTAAAATATTCTTTGACAAACTAAAGGAATATATTGATCTGAGAAAACCAAGTACCTCGATTCAAATAAAGCCCTTCCAGGAATGCAAAAAAGGAAGAAAGAGAAGGTTAGTAAAACACTGAGATTGAACTTCATCTTCCTTCTTCAAAAAATGTTTCATTTGCTCATCAAGTTTACTCTCTATTTTTGGAAAAGAGATATCAAGAATCTAGATGGCATAGGAAAAAGCTACCACTATTGGGAAATTCTTATGGAACTGTTTGAAAGTCTTCATTTCTATCTGATTTCTCGTTAAAAAAAATAATATACTTTTAGTAGCATATTTTCCAGGAATTTCTTGAGTCAATTTCAACGCCTCCTTGGAAAGATTTGACTAGAAAAGGTAGCTAATGCAGAATCAACCATTAACTCCACCGCTGAGTTGTGTGGAAATTTCTCTAAAGCCAGAAAAACAAGAAAAAAAAACCTCGGCAAATGCAAATGCTTCAAACCTTGGGTACCACATATTACAAAAACGCCAGCGCGCTTTATCAGTTACATAAGTGACTTGTACTTTACAATCGAAACCTCCAACAGTGTCTCTTTGGCACAACAACAAGATGAAAGTGCGCCGTACAATGCTGTCTCCCAAGAGTTACTCATTTTGACCTGGTCTAATCGACAAAAGACTGCCACTATGACCACCCTGGCAATAAATGCGTTAATTCAATTGTGTATGAGAAGTCACAATACGGAAGCTTAGGAAGACAAAATTCCTGACAAAAACATACACACAAAATTTTTGAAAGTAGAAATTCTTTTTCCTTTATTACCTGGTTTAGGAGAGGGGTGATGATGCTCTTCCATGGCTTTCTCGAAAAACTTTTTCTTGTCACTGATGGATTGTTTGGCAGGACTGGCTGGCGTTGAAATAGGAAGCTGAAAAAAAAGAAAACCAATGACTTAAAGGAAAACCACGAGAGTCATTAAATTTAATAACTGACGATTGAGAAACATGCCTATGTAATTTAAGAGGCCTTATTAGTTTTCAACATAAATTATTTTATCTTATTTTATCTCTGAAGACTCACTTTCATTATTATTGTGATAAGAACTTCTGATAGGAATAAAAGTTTTTTCTGTTAAAAAATCTGTGCAAGATCGACAAAGATTCAATTATCAAAGGGGAATAAGGAGGAATAAATGCATGCTTTACTACTGTTTCTACAGGAATCGAAAGCAGTAACTTAATGATACCATCTCTTGCAAGGAAGGAATTCATGCAAATTTGGGGTGAAAATGTTGTATGTAAAATATCTACAGGTTGAAGAGTACAATACAGTCGTTGGTGATCAAAATCTGTGGGTAAAAGGGTGATATAACTCTTGATTAGGTCTATACAGATAAGTTAAGCAAATTTAAACTGTAAGAAAATTAACGTAAAAATGATAAAGCTGAAATGGAAAAAAGAAATTCAGACCCTTTCCACAATATTCGATAGACACTGAAAAAAGTTTGAACTAGTGAGATTGTTCAGTAAATGAAGGAAGGAACACGGAAATATTGGTTGCAATAAAAAAAAATAGGCACAACATGTTCTGAAAATTGAAAAACCAGACACAGAGCCCCTTTGAACAACTGTGGGTTGTTCTTACAGTGATGTGAGAAGAGCCTGTTTCATAAGGACCAATTCATCACTGACTTATTCAATAACTTACAACTGAAAGACCCATTTTGGTGCCTTTTTTTCTAGCTAGAAACCTTCGCAGGACTTTTCTTCTGCCAATCTCAGTCTAACTGCAGAAAATCTGTGAAGGTATAGTTACGGCGAAAGGACACTATTCAGAATCGGCGTTTTTATCAGCCCCCAAAATATGACACGATTCCCCCCGGGGGGGGGGGGGGGGGGGGGGGGGGGGGGGGGGGGGGGCAAAAACGCCGATTTTGAATAGTGTCCTTTCTGAATGATATGAATAATAGGGAAAATCAATCTGTGCATCCAGTAAAGAAGGATTGACGGATTGGAAGAGGGTGGCTTCACCGTCGATTAGTTTAATTCTTTGGATCACAAGTGATTTACGGACTATTTATATTCCGGTAAACTCAAGATTTTCTGCCTTACTCTGATGATACACTTTCCAAAACCAGAGAAATTATAATCAGTATGCTTAATGGTATGATTTACCGAATACAAACCTAATGTCACTAATTAATTTTTGCGTACTACAATTTTTTTTGAACGGATAACTTGTTAAATGAGATAAACTGAATAATGATTGCATATAACTTTATTAAAGCACCACGTATAAATCCTAAAATAAAAATGAAATCAAAGTTGGTAAAACATACCTGCTTGGAATCTGAGGATAAGCATGCATTTTTACTCGAACTGATTTTAGCTCCAGTGTTAGATCTACAGGAATTGTCCCGAGAAGGGCATGTGATAGTGGGAGTTGAGAGAATGAATTCTTCCCAGGAAGGAATGCGAGAGGTTTTCGGAAGGGTTGTGTAATTTATAGGTGGAGGAGGTGGAGGAGTAGTTGGTTTTGGAGGGGGGGATCTGGGACATCTCCTCAGAGACCCTGCTTGGGGGACATTTGGACCCCGTTCGGAGGTTTTGATAGGTGATTTTGAAAATGAGTATCGGCTGGTGTCAAAGTCAAAGGCCTGTTTTTCTTCAATGTTGTTCTTTAGGAAGTCAATTTTGTACGACTTTTCTTCATTCAGAGTGTCTTTAAACGTTTGTTCATTGCTACGATAGTTGTACACCTTTGAGGACTCAGAAACAGTCTTACTGGCCAGAGACTTACTTTCTTTCATCAGGATGTCTTTGATGATGAGAGAGTCTTCACTTGGTTTAGATGCGGAGAGCAGTGGTTTCGGTTTGGTTTCAGGTTTGGCTCTATCATAGATTTTAGTTTCGATGGTGAATTTCTCATTTTTCTTGACAACTTCATCTGTGACTTCACACTCAGAGAAGGAGATGTTATCTGAAGTGTCACTCTTGGTAACTGATGATAGATTTGTTGAGCCAGTATTAGAGACAAGTTTTTCAATATTTGATGAGTCCGTTCCCAATTTAAAAGTTCGTTTATCTCCTTCAGAACTGACAGTGAATGATGATTTGTTGGAATTAGAGCCTTTGGAAAACTCAACTTTGCCTGCTTTGTTTGTAAAAAATTTGTTCTGAAAAATACTCTCATCCTTGGTGTATGCTTCTAGACTACCTGCTTCATCAGTCGTTGTTTCTTCTTTTTTTCTTTCGAAGGTCTCTTTGAAGTTCACTCCTTTATCGTCAACTTTCACCTCAAATTTCGTTGGTGGTTTCATACTTGATTTGAAACTTTCATGGCCCAAGTTCTTTTGTTCAGCATCTTTGGTGATATTTGAAAAAGATCTATTGCTTTCCAAGTGTTGTTGCTCAACTTTATCTTTTTTAGGCATAAGTTCAGGATCTGAAGTAACATTGAGGAATCTTGACTTATAATCCTTGAGATTGCTGTTGCTCACAATTTTACTATCAAATTTCCAAGTGCCACTATCGGATAAATTGTCACTTGTATTCGTTTTTGTTTTCTGTGGACTCCTGATATCCCAAGTTGATTTGGAACGGCTCCCTGGACTGAGAGGGGCATTGGTCGACTCGGAATGAATATCGGGTGTAGACTTATAAATTCCTTTAGTACTTGATACTGGTTCAACTTTATGAGATCTTTGAGATTCTGGTGAGAGGATGGGAGGAGAAAATGGAGCCGGGTAGGGAGGTAAGTGTGGAACATAATATGGAATATTTGGGTAGCAACTGGTCGGAGGAGGAGAGTTGATTGAAACAGACGGAGGGTATGGAGACATCAGTGGAGACTGAGATGAAAACGGAGGGGAGTAATATGGACTGAAATACATTGATGATGGAGGTATGAACGATGGAGGAAAAGGAGAGTAATGAACAACAGATGGATATGGTGCGAAACCCATCGTTGTGTGGAAGAGCGATGCCTCATTCACAGACGGTGCTGATGTGGTTATAGTTGTGGAGGTTGCGGAGTTTATAATAGCTGAATTTTCACTCACCTCTTTTGCAACGGATTTTGTTGAAGAAGACGGCTCAGAAAACCAAACGCTTTTACTTGTCTTTGGTAGGGTTGATAGCTTTGGTTCTTCTTTCTCCTTCAGAACCGAGCTGTCAGGAGTTTTCCAGACAACATTTTCAGCGCTTTTACTTGTATCCTTACTTTGAGACAACAAATCGCTTACAACATTTTGTGTTGAGCTCAACGGACTCCTCGTTAAATCTGGCTCACTTCTTCCGACAGATGATTTTATCAGAAGATTATCGACAATTTTAATGGCATCGGCAATGCAGCTTGATGATTCCAAGAGCTTGCCTTGGTTTACCTTCGAAATTTTATCTTCTATCCTCCTGCAAATGTCCTCTTCAATACTACCAGTATCAAAATCGAATTTCTGATTACTTTGCTCAAACAGGTGAGATTTTTCACTGTGGTAGACAGGAGTATATTCACTGAACTGAGATCCTTCGGTTTTTGTTGATTTGCCAACAGTAGAGGAGTTGACATGGGTGTCATGAGATGAGGTAGTTTCACCGGATGAAGTAACATGGGTGTCATGATAGGAGGAGGTTTCTTCTAGAGATGAAGATGTTTGAGTGGTTAAAGATCGTACGTTCATCTGAGACGCATTAACAATGGGGTCGGAGTCTAGAGAGGTGGGTTTTGCGGAGATCTTAGGGAAAACGAGGTGGTCTGGGGACGGGTGGGTGGACCTGGATGGGTAGGAATGTCGAGGACTCGAAGGACTCAAAATGACATCAGGACCATTTTGGGTGGCAGATGAAAGATCAGTCTTGGAACCATCAGGTTTCTGTTATCATGCAAAAGACACAGAAAAGTAAAACAAAAGAAAAATCCAATTAAATGAAAAAAAAGAAAACCTTCTTCCAGAGATGCAATTATTTACTTGTAAAACAAATTGAAAATTAAGACGAAAAATAACAAAAAAACAGTTGCAGGAAATTCTATTTATCCAATTCTTGACACGCCCCCCCCCCCTCTTGAAACTCTAATTTTAGTTGATCTTTTCATGTGATAAAATGTAATGATACCACTTCCCCTCCCCTCCCCTACAAAAAATTTTACATAAAATTACAGATGCTCTCTTGCGCATATTACAATATGTAATGACAGTTTTCCATGTATCACTTTTTAAAACCTTTGTATTACTCTTTGATGGTACTGAAAATGTATGTAGAGTAATTCACCTGCTCTTGCATATTATTTCTCCAGAAGTTGCGTGATATTTCAACTTTGAGCTCACTCTGTGGCAGAATTAGGAGCTCCACCACTCAAAATTACCTTTTGAATTGGCTTCTTAAAACGCAGGTTGACTACCAAATGAAGGTAAGATGAATATTACTGTCTACAGAAAAGAAGTGGAGCTCTAAGAGTAAAAGTTTCCATCATTGCTGGGATACTGGTGAAGCGTCAATTTATTTTCATGCCAGACCCAGTTTAATTATTTCCTATTTCATGTACATCACCATAATAATTCTCCAGTGAAAGGTTTTAAACTTGTAATTTCTCTTGCTAACACATCTGTTACCTTTCAATTCATGAAAAGAGATCCAGGGAATAGTTGGGGGAAAAATTAGAACTTAAAAAAAACATGTGAAAGATGCAGAGATGCAGTTTGCAAATGAGGCACCGAAATTTTTCTCTTGCTAACATAAAATTCTACCAGCGATCTTCATATTTGTCTGCCTAAAATGGGTAACATTGATAAAAAAAACTCTTCAACATGCATCCTTTGCCAAAAGGAGACTTACTTTCGAGAGTATTCGGCAGGTGAGATTTAAATAAAAAAAAATACATGCAAAACCCACAAAAATTGATAAAATACATGGAGTCTTTCACTGCAGAAAAGTGTTGGGTTCAATTATATTGAGTCCTTTCCTGATGGGATAAAGGATTCTTCTACCATGACAATATTAGAAAATTCATGCATGTTTTTTCTTATTTACAACCGTCCGAAACATGAGAGCTGAGATTTGCTTGATTCATGATTTTGCATTTGTGGGATTCAATTACGCTCAGAAATAACCATTTTTGAGAGTATATACTATGTGCCAAAAGAACACATCAAAGAATCCTTGTCAGAAAAATTAACCTAGGCCCTGACTCACAGAATCATAAATGGTTGGAGAACAATGAGCCCTGTCCAAACCTCAAGTTTCTCCAACTGATAATAACAGAGACTTGAAGAGGACAAGTAGATAATGTCACATGCAGGTCCCCATAACCTTAATCTCACCAATCAGCAACACGTAAAACATTCACTGATAACTTTAAATGTATCACTGACAATACAAGACAAGGAGAAACACACCGCCTGGTATAGAGCACATGATGAATCTATTGTGTTATTCCAAGAGCAACATCTCTTCTGAACTGGACGTATAAATTTGTCTGTCAGAGAGATTTTACTTGCTAACCCACAAGCTCCAGTCATCAAGTCATGATTCCACTCTGCAAATAGCTCACTCTCAATGCTGATGCAACTGTTTCCCACAAATGTTGCTATAGTTCGATCAGAGCAAATATTAAAAGCTAGGAAACACAGTTCTGAAAAAATATGAAAAGCACACCGAGCACCCGGATAACACAAACTTTGACACTTCCTACTGAGCTGAGTGAATTGCAAAGGGGCATGCTAGAAGAAGATTAGAGAGGAAAGGTAGAGGAAAAAGAGAACGCTAAGCAGTATCCCACCATCGAGGTTCTTTAAGGTAGAGATAGTCAATAAGGGAAATTACAATATTCAAAGGTCGAAAAAAGGATAAAATGTGAGATGTTTTGTTACATTAAACTAAGGAACGAGGAAAGGAACAAAGAAGTCATTGTTTAAAAAGGAGATATCTATAGGTGTGCATTATATGGGATCAATACTTAAACTTACTCTGTAATTTACTACAATTCACTCTCTGCCTTCTCTGCTTGAATGAGAAAACTTCAGCGCTCTTTAATACAAAAATCTTTAATTTTTGATTTTGCTTGCTACACAAACGGAGTCCTATTATTTAGAGTCAAGACACAAATTAAAAAACCCATTGCCAGGCAATTTTATTAATTGAGGGCTAATGAATAATACCGCCTAACTGGCAGGTTTTTAAAAAAGAGTTAGCGACTTTGCCGCATTCTACAGCATAAAGTACGCTAACTGATGATTTTAGTTTTTTTTTCAATTCTGTAGGAAAGCACTTCAATTACGCTGTAATGTATAAAAAATTGAGAATCTAACCTAATAATTATAAAAATGGCGAAGTTTTCCCTTCGTTCTACAAAATCGTCAGTTTTCAGATACGCGGTTTTGTTCATTAGCCATTGTAATATTTTTACTGGTGCGGCAAAAACATGCAAAAAATTAAACTGCTGAAGACAAAGTTTGGATAGGATTGGACCTCAGTTATCTTAATTCCCCGTATTCAAGACTTCTCATATCCAAGCAGTCACCAGTGGTTTAAAAATACACCTGAGATCCTGTCATCTGGGAGTATTTACACACTGGTTACAAGACACGATTGCTTACATGAATTATTATTGCATGATAATTGGCAATGAACACTGGCACTGGCACTTGGTAATTGGCACTGGTGTTGCTACTATGAGATTGCACTTACTTCCTAATAGTGACAATCATCATTAAATTATGGTTTGTAAAAAAAAACAAAAGGACCGGAGAATTATTTGACATAATCGATGATCTTGAATGAGTACCTTGTCCTTTCAATAACATATCTTTGTTGTAATCTGAGAAAGTGACAGGGCTTTATTAGTCAAAATAGAGATGGCAGAGAGGGAGTGCAGCGCAATAAAGTTTAGTGACAAACTGAAGGGCCAAGACCCGAAACTTACGTTCTCTTGAGAATTTTGAGGGCCCAGAGTGTGCTTGCTCATAACAATTGTTGTTGTCTTGAGGCTATCACCAGATTTTGGTCCCCCAGGGGACTTTGGTTTAGGCACAGGATCACTGGCTAAGAGCTCAGCTGCTCGCACAACATCTAGAACCTGTCATCATCAAAACCAAAACAGAGCATAATGAGAAAGGTATTTTTACTTCAATTGAACTTTGCACATTTCTATTTCTCCATTCAATTTAATGTTCACATTTTTTTAAAACGAGCAGAACCATTATTCAGATTTTTTGCTATGCCTTCAATTACTTTTAAAACTTAAAAATCAATAAATATTAAATCTCAAATTAAAGGGGTTTAATGATACATAAACCGAGGGGCTTTGAGTTTCAAGCATTAAAATTACACCTTGTGCAAATTATCTGCATTTTGTGACATTAACTCACTACATGTTTTATGATACCATTGAAAAACATGTTTCTTTGATTGAAAATAGCAACTTTCTAAAAATTAACATTTTTGTACATGCGACAAAAAGTGATGGCTGAAGGGCTGAGTCAGGTAAGCAATTTTGTCTATTGTTTAAGGGTAGATTGGCTTTGGTAATCTGAGGTTGTATGAAAGAAATCATCTATCTGCAATTTAACCCTTTAATATTACCGAAGCCTGTCACTGGCTCTGTCCCTAAGTTGTTACTTTTTCTGGCTTCTACAAAAAATGTTGCGCTCTATACAATTCATGATTATTTAAAGATGACAAGCAGAAGTACAGAAAAACTTTACCTTTTCCTGGGTTGATTTTTCTCGGATGAGATCCAAGTCCAGTTGGCCACGTTTTTCGCTATCCTCTTTCTCCCACTCAACTAGTTCTTGCTTCATTTCTTCTTCCTGAAAAATCATTAAGAGATTTTTGTTCAAAATTTATCTTTTTTTTTCTTCTTTTGGTTTAAAATTATTCTATTAAAGTAACATATTCCAATGACCTAAGTGCAAGATGTCTTATCTCCATTGTAGCGTATCAACATTTCTGCTTCTATCTTATTCATTCGAAGAGGAACAAGCTAACTTTAGGGCGTGAACTTCATACAGAATATTCTACTAACAGAGAACAAAAATCAAGGAAGTTTTCCTGGAAGGGGGTGAAATACCAACAATTTATAACAAAAAAAAATAAAGAAAGGAAGAAAAAAAAAAGAAACCCAAAGAATTTAAGAATCAAGAGAAAGTATGCTAAACTTGGGATCTTTTAAAATATTTAGAGAGAGGAGGGGAAATTTTAAAAGAATCATTACCAAAAGAATGATAAGGATGCATTTTGCAATTTCTCGTTTTTTTTCATGGCAACAGAATTAAAACGTAGTTACTAAATTGATTGAGGGCAATAAAATGTCTCCATTTACCTGTCTAATGATTTCCGAGTCTTCATACTCTCGGTCAAGACTTGACATACTAACACTATGAGATCTAGATTGTGATTTTTCTCTGTTTAATTTTCCTTCGCTTACCAATCTCTCTACTTCCGCTTTATCGTAACCTAAAAAACAAATCAGATACATTAATGATGTTAATATAAAAACCATAGCTTAGGAAGTGTTTGTCTGGAGACAGCAATGGTGATGTGGGTAGAAAATAGCGCACAAATTATGCCGCTTTTGCTCGCGTTTTTATGGCATAGCAGAAAAAATTGCAATAAAATACATTGGCAGAGAATGTGTTAACTTTGACACACAATACAGTCCATCAATGATGAAACCCATCGAAAAAAACTCTTTTCCCTAAATTTATTTATTTTGTTTTCGTACATTTAAGCCCCATTCTTGGAGCTATGGCACAAGTCATAGGTCAAAGTAAATGATAGGTAAGAGTTTAAGACTTCATCATTCTTCGCGTCCATGTATAAAATTACCTTAGGTAAGGGGAAAGAAGTATGCAGTACAGTCTTTGATCAATAAATCTCAAGATTTTTCATGAATCAAAATTTTTCTGTTATAAATGCATCCGATGGGAGGGGGACTTTCAGTGACCTCAAAATACAAAAACATGCTTACCTTTGCAAACGACTAAGTGCAATGATTGTCCTGCGCTTCTCAGCGCATTCACAGCCTCTTGGTGGGTGGCTCCTAAAAGTGAAATTCCATTCACCTCTAATAACCTCATTCCAACCTGAAAAAAGAAACCAGGACCGAATCAGTGCATTGCACATAAATTACTCATTTATTTATTTTCACAGAAAATTCTTCCACCAAAATGTTCCAAAATTTAGATGCTACACGATTTCAGGACCATATAATTGAACATCATTCGACAATACAAAATCATCAGCACTACAGGCTGCTCATTTAAATTTTGTTTGTCTGCTCGAAAAGTCTAAGCAAAGGTGGAATGGAGTTGTGTAATTAGTAGGCTAAGTTGATTGAACAAGCGTCAACCTCATCTTAAACCCTTCACCGGGCCGAATAATTAACCAGTTGTCAGTCAGCAAGAGGGTGTTTTTTGGTCCATAATTCTACCTAATAAAGAGCTTGCGATGCAATCTCCATCCGTCTTAACAACACAGCAAAGCAATCAATGACTACATTCCACTTTAAATTAGTCTCATCCGTTAGATGCAAAATACAATTTCAATGGTTGACTTGCTGAACCTTCATGGCAGCAACATGTCTATTTTAAAGATGAAAATGGCTTAAATTCAGTCGTTTGGTAGCTGGGTAAGAGATAATTCTACCTTCAAGCCCCACCACGAACTAAAGATAAATTATAGTACATTAGTATATTCATCTACAATACATGATTCAATTCTAAAGCCAATTAGGCCAAGAATAAAGTCAAAAGTGCAACAAAGAAAAAAATTCATTGCTGCATGAAATTTTTCCCTTTGTACTTTCGACTTGATTTTTGAGCTAATTAAATTAAAAATTGATCGTATGATCTAGAGAAATGAATCTACAAGTAACCTGAATTAAATTATATAAAAAGTGGGTTAGTCGTACATTGAAGTAGTAAAAAGGGTTAAGAGATTTACCTTCAGTCGGCCATCCTTCTTGGCTGCCCCTCCAGAATTGATCTTCGATATGAAGACACCCTCATCATTTTTGTCCAATGGATTGCCGCGATGACCTCTAAGACCACCTTTGATATGCATGCCAAGCTTGCTTCCATCGGTTTTAACGATTGTCAATTCCTGAAACAAAAAGGTCAGGCGAATTGATCGAACATTCAATACTTCAGCTTCAAACACAAAGCTTAGAAGTCACAAATCACTGACTAACTGTAGTAAAACGCTCATCTAATGGATTGCACAGGACCAAAAGACCAATCTGTTAGATCGCCAAATCTGCATATTTGATTCAATGGATTATAGAAAAAATGGACAAAAATCCATAAAATCAAGGTTTTTCTGGGAGGATTTTACAAATTGCAGTTTACCTTCCATTAAAATCTTGCCCCCCCCCAAAAAAAAAAAAAAAAAAAAAAAAAAAAAAAAAAAAAATTTAAAGTTTTACAGAATGTAAATGAAGTGACACTATGTTAGTTATTGTAGTTTTTCCCAATTGTCTCAGTTTTCTACCATTATTATCTGTAATATTGATTTTATTACTTATAAAAGACGATTGGAAAGTACAACAGATCAAGAGAAAAAGCATCCGAGGACGATTGAGAAGCAGATTCTTACCCTGAAACCTTCTGGCAAAGGATCATGTTGGATTTTTAATATGATTTCTGAGGTTGGTTTGAGAAGAGCCATGACAGCCTCCTGATGAGTATACTGAGAAATATCTTCATTGTTAACGGCTAAAATCCTATCTCCCATCCGCAACTTTCCAGATTTAGCAGCAATACCTTCAGGAACAATCTGAAAATTCAAATGGAAAATCAGCTGTTGACAAAATAATGCTACTTTGAAAAACGAAAGCAAAATCAAGCCAATACAGAATGGTCAGAATGCTGATAACGCTGAATAGAATGAAATCTACAGAAGAAATCTACTCTGCAAAGTAGGAGATTGAGTATAAAACAGAAATCTACCTTCAGTACAGCAGACTTGATAGCAATATTTTAATATGTTTGTCATATGCTTAAAATAATGAAATCTGAGAAAATTACAGCAATTGAATATGAAGCATGTTGATAAGTAGCGCATCGAAAATTGATAGATGAAAGAGATTTTCTTCCAAAAGACATTGCTTACTTGTCACAGAGTGCTCCTATTCTTCCTTCAAATTCTGCAGTGAAAATAAGTAGCACAGCTCTTAGAAACATACCTTGTCCATAGACTTTCTGTGACGTAAGAATGCTGACTGGCACAATAATTATGATAAATTGTAAAACTGAAAATGTCGGTTTTATTCAAAAGTTGCTGATTTTTTTTTTTATTTGCTAAAAAAGTACCAAGAACAAATAATAGTTTCATGAAAAAGTCTTTTGGACGGATGGTGAATTAAAATGATGTATTCTGAAGTATAGGAAAATTATGAAATACTCACGTGAGAAATGAAAATTCCTGGAGAATTCATTCCGAAGGGAGTGCAAACATGATCAGTTCCTCCAATTATACTGAAACCTAAGGATCCACCATCTTTCACAAGTGTTACATCCTGTGAAAAAGAATGAACATTTTCAATTTAGTGAGGCTTTGAAATGAGTCTCATGCGCAAATAATCGCCATGTTCTACAGGTGTTAAGTTTCATGGATACTTTTTGAGACTTAACATGAGAGTCATGGTATAAATATGAGGAATAAAACAAGATTGTTTTCACCTAGCTGATGAATATTAGATGAAATTGTTTATTTTTCTTTCTTAAAAGCGCTGAGAGCTACCAATAAAGGTTGATTGAAGGGACCAACAAGTTTTTAACAGGCAAGTTTAAAATTTCTGTGGGATAAACGTTTCATTACAACATATCATGCAGATTTTAATGAATTGTAAGGAATTTTTTTATGATTTTTATGCCTATAAAATTACTGTTGAAATAAGTCGCTGACTAGTGTTGCTTGAATAAAAAATTAATACTTGAGTTTATTATTCATAATGCATTTATAATTTTTTTCTTTTCTTTTCTGGAATAATTCAATACTTGAAAGAAAATACTGTTTTGTTTGACAATTTCCGGGAATTCTCTCCAGAACTTGGGGCTCTTGAGTTTAAAATAAAATAATTTGATTTACATCAGAAAAACACTGACATGATAGACAAAGAACAACATTAATCTAAAACTAGAACATCGATCCATTACGATACAGCTGCGCTACACAGGCAATTGTTAAAACAAAAAGCTAAACGTCTGTATCTATTGACAGAAAACAGACGATTTTCAAAAATAAATTATGTAAAAGAAACATCATTTGAGATAAGGAAAATTTAAAGCTAGACAACAGACACTTACTGAGTATGTTATATATATTGAATTGAACCAGGTAAACGGATAGAGTTAAAGTGGGATGAAAATCATAAAAAAGGTTACTTTGTGCAGAAAGACACGATTAAAAAATTAACAACTACCTCAGAAGAATCAGTACTTTTAAAAAGAGCAGAAGTTCATTTTTCAAAATCTTTTTTTCTAGTATTTTTGAACTCTCTGGTTTGTCCTTATCATACTATTTGAGAAAGCAGCAGAGGTCCGCTTTATGGAACATCAGTGACAGATGCACAGGAATGTAAATGTCACTAAAAAGAGCGTCAAAAATGCGAAAATAGAGAAGATTTTGAAATACCAGACTTCTAAAACTTTAAAAAGAACTCGTTCAAATTGAAATCCACCATGAGTCATCTGATTCTCTTCATTTTTGCTAGGCTTAGAATAAAGCTTTACTTTTGTTCAAAGGAAATATTTAGGGAACGATGTTTGACACATGGCGTCTTTGTTTGGTTCATTCCCTGATTCTTCCTGACTACCCAAACGTGAAGGAAAGCTGGTAACTCTATTCCACAATACTGCCATTTCACCAAAAGACTCGATTGAGTTTATTTTAAAGTCTTGTTTAATGGAACTACTAAGCTTAAAAGATTCAAGAAGTAGCGGACTAATATATGAATAGAAGAAGAGATATCTAATGCAATGGATCTTCAGAGAAGGGAAACGGAGTGACTGAGATGAACAAACCTCAATGATAACAGGAACAGGGTTAGCTAATTTATTGTCTGTGACTCGTGTGACAACAGTTTCTGTTAAAGTACTTTTAGTGATGGTCTCCGTCACTTTTCCCAAAGTGGTTGGAGCGTCTGGGAACGCAATCCCGTTAGTGAGATGATCCTGAGGTTGCTTTATGGTCAATGTCACCACTTTCTCCTTTGGATCATCTGAACTTTCGGAAGGCTGGGACGACCGAAAATGAGAGGGGATCATGGCTTGGAACTCCTCGTTAGTGATTGGCTTTGGCGGTGGGTGCTCCTACATTAAAGCAATCATTCATACGATCAGACAAAATTATGAGATTTTTCATAATGGTTGAATTTTAGAATGAAGACTGATCACACTCGGTAGTATTTAGAATTTCTGGAGTTCAGCTAAAAGGAGGATACTATAATTTAGGTGCCATACCATCACATACCTCTTATTTTCTCTCTCTCTTTCTTACTTGGTTGTGTGGCAACTAAGGTGGTTCAAAAATCTGTACACAGATACCATAATCCTCTTTGAGAGATCCTTGATATACCTGAGGGATCACCCCAATTTGGAAAAAATAAATCACATACTGAACAGCACCATTGAATTGCTTCAGCCCACATTTAAAACTCATGAAGTTTCTATCGAGACACACAGTTCATGTGGACATGTACACGTAAATTTTCAATTTTTCATTAAGCGTTAAACATAATAACTGAAAGGAATGCATGGCAATGATGTATTTCAGAACTGAGCGTTAAGTCGTGTTAGACCGCATGCATAATTCACTAGAAACTACGGTACTACAGAACATTCCACATTTAGGAGATGACATACAATGAATTTTGAATTTTACTGGTTAAATGGGTTTTGAGAAAAAATATGCAATGCTTCCCAGAGGTTACAATTTTCAGAGTTATATGACGATGTTAGGCTGAGAAATTAGGGACAAATAAACCACTGATTTAGGGATTGTTGTTACATGCCTGTGGTAAAATTTGAAAAAAAAAAACGTAGCAATGAGGAGAAAAAAACAATCACAAAATGAGATCATCACAATGGCTAAGTAATATGGAATCCCAGACAGTAAAAAAGGTTAGGGTTTCATTAGGCATTCATTAAAATTAGCCGATTGCACAAGGTGTTCAAGAAATTAATTTAACATATGCAAAGTCAAAAAACAACAACACCAACAGTTTTATCAAAAACAGTTGGGTTGAATGAGTTTAATTCATGTTAATAAATGTGAAGTCTAGCAATAAACTGGTATTACAGAATAAGAACCACTCTTCTTGTTAGTTCTTGCATGCTATCTCTTGCACCGACGCATTTTCAAAAATTCCCCCTGAGAAGAAAGGTTAATTCTCTCAGTTTTTCATGCACTGTCAACATAAGTATTTAAATTCAAAACTCAGTAGCACACCTCCTAAATGCATAACCAAGCCACAGATATGGGCAAACACCACATTCAGGGAACAAAACCGAACAATACATTATACCTGAGTCTCAGACTCTGCCGTTGTTCCGGCAGTGCCGGCTGTGGAGCCTTCGGTGGCAGTCGAACTCGCTTGTGCGGAGGGAGCTGTGGAGATTCCTGGTGCAGGGGTCAACTTGCGGGGCGCTGGTTTTGGAGGTGTTAATGGCACTTCCCTCGGTGAGGCAGCTCCCGTCCGTATACCTGGGTATCCAGGGCGATTTGCCATGTAGCTATTGGCACTATAAAGACTAGTATACGGTTTAGGAACACCGAATACTTTCGGAGATTTTTCGGGTCCAGGACTTTGTGCTGGAGCACTTGGATCTTTCAGAACAGGAACTTCTCTTTCAGCTACAATCCTGATGTGTCGCTCGAGACCGGTTAACATGGTCACAGCTTGATCATGCCGTGCGCCTTCCATGTCTATTCCATTGATCTAGAAAGGAAAACATGAGATCAGTATCACTCTCTTTCTCTGATTGTTGGAAAAGACTTGAGGGGAAAAAACCTTTTTGCCAAACAAAGGAAATTGAACTCTTACTAAACCTCTCATCTAAAAGAAATCGTCAGCTGCCGTGCACAGGTGCATATCGACACTGTAATATTGCAAACTCTCAGGGAATATTTTATTTTAAAAATAAAGCATTACTGTACTTCCAGATTTGGAGTTTAATTGGGGGCTTTCCAACAATTTAAAAAAAATTGAAGACATTTTCAGAAAAATTGCACAAATAGTTCATCCGGGATAAAATGGAATGGGGGGATGTGAATATTTGAAACTTTGTGATGTAAAAACTTGCCCAATGCATAGTAGGCAACTAAACGATGTCAAAAGTTAAATAAATAAGATGAATTACAAGAAAAAATTTGAGATCAGCGAGAGATTAGAGAATATTATTATAAATATTATTCAATCTAATAATCCTGTTCATCACTCATATATAAGTCCTAGAAAAAGTGATAATATTAATATATAAATTATTAAAAATCATATATATAAGCTCCAAGGCCTCCTAAATTTGCACATCTGGTAATGCTTAGTTCCAGCATTCTACCGGGCTGATTTTTTTTATTTTTGCGGCTATCGACAGGCAACTGTCTCTAGATGAGCCCGCTTTATTCAGATTTAGAAAATATGACCCAAGTTTTTTTATATTACGCGGTGAAGTTGCGAATTCTCCCATTTAAACAATGTAAATTTTTATTTTTTGTCATAGTTCGTTTGAGCATTCTACTGGACCGATTTCCATAATTTTTGCAGTTATCGACAGGTAATAGTCCCTAAATGAGCCCTCTATAATCAGATTTTGGAAATATCCAGATTTTTTTATAAAAGAGTATACCTGGGAGCTTAGAAAAGGGGCAAAAGAATTAAGCGGGAAATTGTGAATCTTGGTCTGTTAGTATAGGGTAAGATAAGTGAATTAAAGGTATGCTCCTTTACTACAGACTTCCCAAAAGTAACAAAATGCTCTATTCTTTTTGTTTTGTTTCGTTTCAGTATTGGCCTGAAGTTTGAAATAAATGACAATTTTCTTATTTGGTTCTTATAGGTCCAATCGCTCCTGGCCAGAGGGAGATCGGACAAATGAGGGTCGGGTATGAAAATCTTTTCATTTTTTTTGTAGTTCTTTTGTCGAAGTGGGCCTAGGAGAGGGCGAAGCGCCCTCTGGGGGTTGGGCTGCACAGCGGCCAAGGGGCTTAGCCCCCTAGTATCCTTATAATATTAAATAGCTTCAAACTGAACATAAATGGAAGGACTTACTGAAATGACTTTATCTCCTACTTGAAGCACTCCATTTCGTTCTGCCACTCCTCCTTCTGTCAATCTTGATATAAATATTGCCTAAAAAAATAAAATAAGTGATAGGAAACTTAAAAAGTTCTTCATTACAAATAAGTATAGATTGAAATTCTAGCAAGAGGTTGGAAAATTTTACAATTGTCAACATCTTATTTCTTTGTCCTGAACAAAAAAAGCACCAATAAAATAGCATTAAAACAAACTTGAAATGACATTGAAATTGGCAAAAAGTGCCATCAAAATCTGCAGAGAATGACGGCAAAATTTACCAATATCTAGTCCTTACTTTAACCAACATTTTCAAGTGTAACTTGTGTGGTACATCTAAAGTCACTGTTCGGACTGGTAAGGGCAAACCAGCTAGAATTCAAAGTTGATCCAACTAAATTTTGAGGTAATGAAAATTTCTAATAGTGTAATTAAATGCATGATTAAGATTCGGAATACTTTCCCAGACAAACTTTCTTTAAAAAAAATCAGATCTTTACTCCAAAAGAAAAATAAAATAAGAAAAACAAAGGAGAAATTGATTCCATAGATTGGTCCAGTTGGGAAGAGAAGGGGGGGGGGATGAAATTTACCTTGGCTTAAGGCTGTTCTTTTGAAAATAAACATTACATCAAACTTTGTGTTTAATGTTGATTATCAATTTTTAGGATGAGGATTTCAGGCTTTGGGAAAGAAAAGGGAAGAAGAAAGAATGAAAAAGTGAAAAAAGGCTGACTTACGTCAGAGTTATCCTTAAAAGGAGGACAACCTTTTCCACCAGCAATACTGAATCCAAGGCCATTCTGATCACGAATCAGGGTGGTTTGGACAATTTGCTTACGCATTTCAACGTTTTTTGTAGATTCTGACACAATGCTTGGCTACAGAACAGAAATAATAATAAGGAATTATAGATAGAAGATGCTTCATTAGATGAATTTTTCTTCTCAATGGATGAAAATTAATTTCCTGAAAAAGTCTTTCCATGATTATCTGACCGTATTGAGATGATATTGAATAGAGTTGGGCCCATACTTTGCAAGATGAATCAAAAACCCAAAACACGTAAAAATTTAAGTAAAAAAATTGCTTCATTAATGGGTCATATTTTTTTGTGTCATTCAAAATTATTAAGCGAGATTCTTTGCTTCACTTCAGACTGCTCAAAAAGGTAGATTTTCCCATGAAAACTTAGAGTCTAAAAAGGCTCCCACCTTGTTGAGCATTTCTGGTGGATTGGCTCCTGCCGACTCAAATCCTGATGTGATGGCCGAGTTGTGAGATGCTGCGCTGGGGGCACGACTCGTGCTGATGGACGAACACGCTGAGTCTGCTCCATCTCTGATGGTGCTTGCGACACTTCCTGAGCTATGGTCAGTCTAAAAACGAAAGACAAATCAAAGTTGATTGCATTATTTGCAATAAAAATTTAAATAATATTTTCTTCCTTTCTCTCTATGTTCTCCCATCTGAATGCCTCTTTTTCTTGGTGATAGTTTCTTTTCCTCCTACCTCTGAATTCACAAAAGTTTGCCACTCAGGACATTTTCGATACCCTTCGCTGTCGGAAACCACAAAATGTCTTCCTTTTTTGAGCAAAATCTTTTGCCTTATCACAGAAGAGTTGTTCCAGAGGGTAGGCCACGCATTTACCCACTACGTGACGCATTACAGCGAATACCAAATGTACTTAAGTACTCTTTGAGTGAGACAAGAGGATCAGTCATCTCTACTTTGAGACTCAAATTTTAATTGCTCTAGAATGAAGACAGTTGACCTTACGTCACAGTCTAGGAGTAAGTAAACTTACTTATAGTAGACTCAAACGAAACATTATATAACTTCAATCAGACTAGAGGTACTTCAATCAGGAGCCATAAATATTGACAGCTTATACTTTCTGATAGCGATGTTTATACTTCAGTTGTCAATCTTCTTTACAGAGTGATGACGATTTCTACCTTAAGGGCTTTTATCAAGCTAAAATTTATAAATATAAACTATAGCAAAGAATCAAGAAGGCTATAAAGTCACTGCACATTAAGTTGGACTGCCAACCAGTTGCTTACCCATGCAACCATCATCAGTTCAACACTTTGCACCGTGATTTTCTAGCTTCTGTTTGTTTCTTGTTTTTATTTTCATTTTCAAAAATTTTAGCCTATAAATGGCCCTTGGTTTCCTTCTTTTCCTTGCTTAAAAGTGAACTACAACCGACTGCATGCTGATAAATAGTTGTATTAATAGTAAAAGTGTTAGTGGCGGATACAGGGTTTCTTACCTTGACATGGGGTTGAATAACCGGCACTTCCCTTGTGACTTCTAGAACAAGAGTTGAGCCTGCTGCTCTGAGAACCTCTACTGCTGTATAGTGATCTGCATTTACTAACGAGTGGCCATTAACGGAGATCAGCTTGTCACCAACCTATAGAATAAATATTTTCATTAATGACAGAGGACAACATAATTTGTATCGGAGATCATATTGATCCTCATTTTCTGAGGAAAATTATAACCCCCAGCGACTTAATCAAAGGAATTATAAGGGCTTCTGACTAGATTTGATAAAATAATACTACATTTAATTCTATTCGATGGAAGGCTATATTTTTGCAGCTTACGATTTCACAGCTTTTCGATAAAGCTTATTCACGGCAATGTGCCCTTTTGTTCTGAAAATACACTTGGGAGGAGTAAAGTTTTAACTGACATGCTGTTTATTAGGACTGATTGAATTTACTTCTGATGATATGAGATACATTACACTAATCTAGAATCATTGTTGAGCAGAAGGCTCTACAATCGCATGAGTGATTTCACAGTGCTGTTGATAATGTCAGGCAAACAATCAAACATCAATTTTTAAAAAAAATAGGAGAGAAAAAAAGCACTGCTTTTGTCTCACGAATGCAAATGGCCAAGTAACCTGTGATACCAGCGGAAGCAAATTCAAAACATCATGATCAGCAGCATCAGAATTTAAGTTGTCTATTATTCATAGATCTAAGATATGATAGAAATCTTCTTTTGTCCAAAATCTTGTGCAGATGTTGACTAAGCTAGCAAGAGATGTTGCCAAAATGAAATAAGGAAAAGAAATTTCCTCCGACAAATATCCTGATACAACTTTTGAATTTTCTTGTTGGTTGCAGCACTGTTATTTTTACCAGCTTACAATCTATTTTTTGGGGTAGTTTCAAAACTAAATTGGTGCAGACACACACCATCAACCAGAGAACAACAGTATTCTACCTTAAATTTCTGTTAGAAATTTTTGTTTGTAGTTTGTGCAATAGAGGCAATCGGACTTCGTTTTGAAAGCTGATCTACATAGGATTGCAAATATGACGGAACTGTGATCAAATCATGTATCCTAGTTTTAATAAACACAAAGCTCACTACTGAGTGAAAAACATTTTTTTCGTCCAGAAAATTCACAAAACCGATGGAGTTACTACAAACATTTTGCTTAAATATTTGTCGAATAATTTGAAATATATCCTTGCATAGATAATACTCTGATTGAAATTGGTGACAGAACTTACCCTTAAATCAGCCAAATCTGCCGGCCCACCTTCTGCGACTCGAGAAATAAAGATTCCTTCATCATCCCCGATGAAAGGAGTTGAGCCAACACCACCTGCTATTGAGAGGCCAAGACCCGCTGAGCTCCTTTCAATATGGATATGAAGCCTTTTTTCCCGTGACTCGATTGCCTCTAGATCTGAAATGAACAAAAAATTCAATAATTTAGTCAGGAGAAGGTATGAGATGAGAAATATAAACAATGATAAAAAACACCAACGCACACATACTTCCCCTGGAGTCCCTTCCATGGAGCTTCAAATCGAGGAAGGAGGAAGGCCAAGGAAGTACAGCAAGAATGAAGAATACTCGCAAATAAAACTTGAGATCAAGAAAAAATGGGCTTAGAACTGGGGAAGAAACTCAGACAAAGATTTTTGGACCGGGAAACTCATCTCCGACCCACGTAAATGGCTGGATAGGAAACATGGAAAGACTACCTTCTATCTAACTCAACTGCTCTCTGGACACATATGCTTTAATTATTATCTACACCGTCTGAAAATCTCGAAAACTGACACTTGCCCTCACTGTCCTTCGGCTTCTGACACCCCAGAGCACTCGCTCTTCACTTGTTCTTTCTACACCCCGGAGCGTTCACGACTGGAATCCAAGATCGGCGATTTGTTTACCGCCTCAAATTTTCTTGATATCCTCCTCAGCTCAAAAGACAATTGGGAAGCTGTGTGCATATGCATTAGAACTTTAATGGAAAGTAGGAAAAAGGCAATCGACGCTGCTGATGACATGCCAAACGGCGATGTCCGGCAGCCATCCAAAAGTGTTTAGACAGTCTATAGTTATCTAGTTATAACTTACTTCTTGCAATTTTACTGGTTTCTTTTGTGCTATCTCTCATTCGATTTGATGTAATTTTATTCTGTACTTAAACCTTTTGGTGGCAAATAAACAAAAAAAAAAGAAAAAAAAGAAAATAGACGTTCCCTTTGATATGATAAAAAAAATGCTTTAATTTTCTTTCAGCAAATTTAAAATGTAATTAGGTGGTAATTTATATCAAATTAGAGAACACACTACTGCAACTGCTTTTAATGATTCAAGTTAACAAATCAAGTTTTATACTTCTGTTTACTCCCATTAAAGTGACTGCGTTGAGCAGTTAACAGGTAAATAAAATCCACTAAAATGATTTTCAATTAAAGCAATTTTTTGAATCATCTGTGGTGGCTGAGAATTTTCACCGACAAATAAAACACACTTATCTATTAGTAACATTTGAATTACTCAACCCAAGAAAACTCTCATTTCATAATCAGAGGTTCAGCAGAGTATAATATTACAGTTAACCTCATTATAAACAAGGTAAAGAGGGAAAATGGAGATCTATCACTGGTTGCAAGTTAAGTTGAGCATAACTATTGGGGTTCTCATAATTTTTTTCTTTTTTCAAGTCCTGGACGATTTCCTTACTTCAACAAATTATACAAAATTCCTTGCGTCAGGTTACTCTCACTTTTGAACAGAACTTCCATCTGATTTTTATTTGTTTTCATTACACAGACTTTTGCTACACTTGGGATAAAATTTTCATGTCTAGCAATTCAAATTATGAAAAAAGGCACTTGAGAATCTTAGAAGTCCTCCCAAACGGAAACAGCTGAAGTTGCTGCACCAACGCACCAGTCTCAAAATTCCCTGACTATCCTGGACTTTCAGTAAAAAACTGATTATGCATGGTTTCACTGGTATAGTTTATTTTTAAATTAATTAAACAAATAAATTTTCCTTCATACAGAAAGTGAAAGGCTTCAGTGATTTTGGTCTTAGGACTTTGGTCTGGTACGATGAGTTTAAAAAACAAAACATTCAAAACTGCACACGCTAGCCTTAACTGCAAAAGGGTTAGAAGTATGAGCCAGAAATTTAAATACTCCCGCTCAGTGGGAACTGAGATTTGAAAGATTCTGAAATAAATCAACCACACTTGCAAACATTTGGATAAAAGTAATTAAAAAATAGTATGCTATACCTTTGTATCGAACTTTCTTAAAACTGCTGTATTTACCGCGTCTCAATGACATTTTAAAGTGAGAGCTTCTAAGAAAAAATTAAAACTTCACTGTTGAGCTTGGCACCATACCATTCCAGTAATTAATTGAAAAACTTTATTTATATTTTCACTTTGTCAATATGAGAAAATGAATAGTTAAATCCATAAAAAGAATTGAAAAATGGTGCAAAAATTGATGAGAATCTGCTTTTTTTGAAGGCACTATCAGTGGATACGAAATCACATTTAAAAGAAAAAAGACAGAGGAGCAGAGAAAAACAAATTCCACAGCTTTTGGGTTCGTATCAAGGCACAGCACTACACAAATGACGAAACTGCCTAATCTGAAGGCTTATAGGACACCACTATCAGTATCAGAGGTCCACATTGGTGACCTACTTGAACAAAATTGTCATCATTTTGAAGAGAAATACTACACCCATCCGAAACAAAACAGGAAAATGATAACACAAACACAGCAAGAGCTAGCACCACTGTTTTCACTCCTTGTCTTGGATAAAATAAAACTATTCAAATTTGTTGCTGAATGTAGATCACTCGATGAGCTGAAATTTACAACGACACAACCTGACAGCCTGCATTCATAACCACTAAATAATACTACTAGTAAAATCAATAACAAAAACAAACAAACTGAGACTATAATAAAAACTCGTTGAAACAAACCAGTGTTGCTAAATTTTCAGAGATAATTTTTGACGATCAATCACTTGGTGAATGTCTCAAAACATACTTATGCATTGATTTTACTCAAAAGATTGTCACAATGATCTTCAACTGAGTAACTTGATTTTCGGAGAGACCCATATTCAATAGAACACTGGCCATGCATGAAAATCTTATCAAAGTAATTTTTATGGCTTTCTTTCGAATTAGAATCCCAGCTTGAATCCTTCCCTTTAAGTCAAGCCAGGGTTATAATAAAAATAACTGCATTTTTGATGGTAAGAAAGACCAGGAACCCTCTCTGGTTTTTTTAATTTTGAAAACAGTCAATGAAGAGCCATGTCAATTAAGTATAAATGGTTGAGAAGACTTTTAAAAAAAATTACATCTAGTGAGTGAAACGCACCAACCATATTCTGATGAGTAGAAACAAGAAGAAGAGGGCTATAGAGAAGGGGGTGGGGCAAAAAGAGGAGGATGATAAGAGAGAAAGAAAACAGAAGAAATAATAAGAAGATAACGAAAGGGGGAAGAGGAGAAAAACCTGAAGTTGGACGAGGAAGAACAAACAGTGGAAGAAGAGGAAAAACAAAAAAAAAGAAACAAAGAGGAGAACTGGTAAAAGAGGAAAAAGAAGCAGAAGAAGAAAAATAAAGAAAATAAAAAGCAGCAGTAAAAGAGGAAGCAGAAGATGGAAAGGAAAGAGAAAAAGAAGAGAAAGATACTTAAGGGAAAGGAGACTGAGAAAAGAAAGAAAAAACTAAAAGAGAACAGAAGGAGAGGAGTAAGAAAAAATAGAAGAGAGAAAAGAAATAGAGGGAGAGGAATAAGAAAAAGAGGAGAAATGAAAAGCAGGAACAGAGAGAGATGCAGTAGAGGTAGAAGAAAAAGAATGGAAAGTGAAGGGAGGGAAACCGAAATTTTTTTAAATTGAGTACTCCCAACTTGAAACACAAAACACACAACAAAACTTGCAACACAGCACAGGATTACAGGCTATCATGAAGAGTCAACAACTTGGCCTGGCGTATGAATATGAGTCATTTAATTTGAACAGAGAGAAAGATAAGATTACACATGATCCATTAAGAGAATGAGAATCGATGATAAGTGAGGAATTCCAAAGTTGGGAAACTACTCTCAACAACTGTTTCACCTGAGAACAGTGCACAGAGGTTGCTGACTGCTTCAACTGAGCTGGGAGGGCTGAGCTGGACTGGGACTGGACTGATGCAACACATGGGAGTCAGGTTTCACTCCCAGCTCCATCTACAGCTGTGCAGTGTGTGGCTCAGGAATTTATCACCTTAAGTAAACAGAGTTGTGACCTTGCCACCTTCCTAATCGCTACCAGATAACCATTCAACTGCACCATTTTTTCTTCATTTAGCATTTATGAGTTAATGACACTGTCTCAGTCTGTTACTTCCTCCTCATTAAACAGCTAACAATCGGTTATCAAGAGAGGTATTTTCAACACCTGAAGCTAAAATAAGACATTTTTGCTTCTGCTTGCACTTCTGCTTCCATTGTTATATCAAATTAATCATGATTTTGCTAAATAACATTTTTTACATAAAAATAATTTTAAAAAAATTTAAAAGGATTTTGTTGAGGCATTCGATGGTTAATGTTTTAAAGTTTTTTTTTTTTTTAAAAAAAAAAAAAAAATCTCAAAATAATGAGAGGTGTAGAAATATTAAAAGTATGATATCAATTTTAACTAAACTCCCATGGTTGCTTCCTAAAATTTAAGATCTGATGGAACTTTCTATCTTCAATTTTAAAACTACATACTCACATCTATATGAGTCTATTTAACATTATCAATGTAATGTCAACACCAAATAAACTAAAATACTTTTTAGGATACAACAGGGCATTTTCTAACAAAAACTAATAATCGGTTTGATCTATCCAACTCAATAAAAATCGCTATACTTGAAATTTTGCTGACCTTACCTAACCTAACCAAGTTTGTTCCAGTCAACTGTCCCAAATAATGATGTAATGCTACAACAACGATTCTTAAAATTGAATACTAATCTAGGAAAAGCTAAATGTAAGTAGTGTGGGACTTGACAAAGGTGCATACCTGTATTATGTCCGCTTAAAGATTCCGGAGGGGTAGAATAGTACGGTTTTTCTCTGGCAACATCACTGGCATTGTCAGGGCAGTCTTCTCTTTGCTTCGATAAAACCTGAAAAACGTATGCCTCATACAGTGTCGTAATGACATTGAAAACGAAAATTTGTCAATTATCTTGTACAAGGTGTCTACCAATTATAAAAAAAAATCTCCAACTTATCCCTGAAATCCCTAACAAAAACGGCCAAAAACCCCGAAGAAAATTTAAAATTTCCGGACAGACGGAAAAAATAATTCGCTGACATTTCCCTGACAAAAAGGGGAAATATTCCTAATTTTCCAACATAGTTGAACTGATTAGATGCAAATTAGAATTTTTTCATGTTTTAGGAATATAATGTAATAAATAGAGCAAAACAAAATATATGGTGCCTAAACTTATGCAGGATAATTTTGCCTCTTTCATAAAATTGAATAGGTATCGGTAGAAATTTTGGTATCAATTCCGGAAAATCTATGTTTTTCGATTTCCCTGACACAAAAATTGCTTGCAAAACAGAATTCCATGACATGTCAAATTATTGCAGATTCCCTGACGTTTTCCCTGATTTCCCTGACACCAAGAAAATTCCCTGACATTTCCCGGTTTTCCCCATCGGTAGACACCCTGTTGTATTACCATATTTATTGATTAAGAGCCTAGCTCAAATACAAAATGACCAAAATTTCAATACCCTTCCTCCTTGTTGAAAAGTTTTCCAACAGACTCTCCAATGCACAGATGAAAACAGTAAAAAGTTCTTTTTTGATCGTAAGTGGGTATCAGCAAAAACATTGCAATTAAAATCAAGTTTGAAAATTGCGTGGTCAAAGTCTACCAGGAGAAAAAATCCTTAAACTGGATTTTATTTATTTTTATTATAAATAATCTAGGGTCACGTTTTTCTTTTCAAGAGGTTCAGGAAAAATTACCTTGAAAAATTAGGTTTTCCTAGGGCTTGTCATCCTAATTTTCCCTTGATGTAAAAGTTTGAGAATTACTTTAATAAAGCTAGAAATACTGGGTGCTCCACAAGTTTCATACCACCAGCATCAGGCATTAGGATGATGCAAAAAAAGTGACTTGCGTCCGATTTCGGCTCCCAAGGCAAATTCCTATAAATTAATGACAAGAAAGAGAAAATCCAAAGTTTTCGATCAGAACTCGGTTTTTCCAGGCGGCGCGAGCCAAAAGATTTTTCCGAAAATCGCCATTTGTCTCGATTTTTTCAATTTTTTTTTTTTTTTTTTTTTTTTTTTTTTTTTTTTTGTGTCTGCCGAGTTTAGACACTCTACTTCATGAATCTGAAGCGTCATTGCTTTTGATTTGTCAAAAAAAATTAAATTCGTTGAGGCAAACCGTGCGGAGAGAATATGTTAGGAAAAATCGGCGAAATCGCACGGTGTGGCTACTTTGAGAGGTTGAAAAGAGTATTTTAAAAATGATAAGGTAAAGTGAGTTATTGTGTTATTTTTCTCGTAAAGTACCCTGAGAAGTGTGTTACCTCAAACAATTTCAAAGCTATAGCTACACTTTAAAGGGGAGAAAAAATTCGCGAAATGACAAAAAAACGCAACTGTTTGGAATTTGAACTACCCGCTTGGAGACTACTACTTGTCGGCCCCGGCAGCACCACTTAGGATGATATATATTCAAAAATATGCCTCTGGGGACGAAAAATCTATTAAAAATCGAGACAAATTGCGATTTTCGGAAAAACCTTTTGGCTTGCGCCGCCTGGAAAAACCGAATTTTGATCTAAAACTTTGGATTTCCTCCTTCTTGTCATTACATTATAGGAATTTGCCTTGGGAGCCGAAATCGGACGTGAGTCACTTTTTTTGCATCACCCTAATCAGGCATCATGCCTGTGACTTTTGGTAAAATGCCGATAGATACTTAAAATTTTGTGGGTGCTTCCAGATCCAAGGACTTTACTCCTGGGAGTCTCCGAAATTTCAGGAGGATCTCTCTAAAAAGGGGCAAGAACCCTGAGGTTTCTAGGGGTGGCGTTTTTGGATCACCCTGTGTAAAGCCAGAACCAACTACCCAAACACTATGCAGAGCTAGACAGGTGAATGAAGGGGTGATAGATATATCACTGAAGAAAATGAGTTGAAGGAGAAAAACTGAAATAGAAGAAACTACAAAGCCTTTGATAAAGTCTTAGACAATTTATCATGATACATTTAGAGATGAGTAATATTTAGCTGTAAAGCTATAGTTGAACTGGACCTTCAATAGATTTGAAGATATTGATCACCAATTCCTTTGAGAGTCTTCTTCTTTTCACAAATTTAGATCCACACCTCAAAAAATGGATAGATGAGGGGCTGAGTCAGTGACTGGCTTTGAATATTGTTGAGGGGCTGATTAGCTTTGGTGAATCCAGGTCTTTTGAATGGACCAATGTGCCTGCGTCTTAACTCTTAAATAATACCCCGAGCTAGTCACTGACTTCGCCCATAACCCACCACTTTTCATGGTGTTGACTATAAATATAATTCAAGTTGACTATTAAAAAGTTGCCTAGAATTTGCCATTGTGCAACTCTTCCGGACAAATAAGCAAAATAGTCAGCAAGGTAGAGTCCTTGCCAAATAAGTTTACATGCTTTTGGAGTGCAATAGAAGTTTCGCAATCTTGATTCTCGCATTTGCTTTCAACACTGAACTGAAGACAGCTGATCTCCCATTGAATTCTAAAAATGTGTAAACTTATTTGGCGTGGACTCTGCCTTTTTGAAGTCTTTGGTATTCTTTGGTATTTTGCTAAAGTATTTTCTGAACCTTAAACTAGGGAATTCCTTGAATTCTATGTGGAATCAAGGTGACTTTGGATCATTTAAGAAATTGATGGGGCCAACAGGCTATGGCATAAGTTTGAGAGCAACTTGTCAAAAGTTTGAATGTTCTAAATCTAATGTATTTAGTTAATAAACCCTACGTTTCAAGGGCAGCAAAAATTCTGAATGGTCGTGATTTTCCGCAACCGTTCGAGTAAGTTAAATACTGTATATGTGAAAGAAATGATTAAAATGCTCTACATTTAATAATTCTACTAAATACTTAGTCATACTTAGTGCACTTGAGTCAGTTTTCTGAAGCCATGAATTTTTTCCTAATTAAATCATAAAATGAAATTCTCATAAAGGATGGATGTAGCTTTACTGTGAAATCTTTTCTGTACTAAGGCAAATGTTGAGAGCAAGAAAAACTACAATGAATTACAAATGTATCAAAAGCCAAGAGTCTAGCTAATGATTTTCAATAAGAGTTTTTCTCCTGTGCTTTCAAGATATTTCTACAGTTGAGAGTGCTTTATTTTGACACCACAGTAAGTTTTCACCTAAAACTCATATTTTTTCAAACAGTAAAACTTATGCTTCTCAAAATGAAGAACTTCATCAAGTTCTATCAGAGAATTCGATATGTAAATCATCTTAGTAATTTAGTAAAAATCAACTAAATGCACCAACTGAATATGTAGTTATTTTCACACAGATTAAAGAAGGATAAGCTCTTGAATACTAACATTACTTAAAATGGCAGCTACTTTGTTCCTATCCGAATCAGAATCGGAGGCACGATTCACACGTTTATTCTTCAAGTGATGCGGAGTATCCCTCCGATGCAAGCGGTTGGGTTTACAGTCTTCAACGGTGGACAACGGTACACCATCAAAGTCAAATCCAACACGCCTTTCCTACAACCATCACCAAATATAAACAAGAATGACTTGAGGCATGCATTTTAATCTTAACACGTTGTCTGCAATCAAGATTCTATTTCTGCGTTCCAATCAGGCTGAGAAAATGTACACAAATCGGCAGAATATAACTGCAATCAACACTGATTACCAGTGACAGTCAAGACACTACCACCACTTCTCAGTTGTGTCTCAAAGACTTAGATATAATGAGTTCCATAGTATACCCATAAGTTCTTCTTTAGGTTCATTCTCATCACTTGGCAAAGCAATGAGAGCAAGTTATGGGCCACTTTGGCTATTTTTGCATGGGACGGATAAAAAACACACAATAATTATGAATTGTAAGGCAGGGAACGAGTTAAAGTTCATCAATGTTTTTTTTTATATTTACTTCGAAAAGATTAGCTTAAAAGTGAGATTATCTGTATAAAGGAAATTGTAGTGAGTTAAACTAAAATTAATGTGCTGGTCTAAGAGTCATTTACTTTTTTCATGACTACCATAATGACCAGAGTTTCAGTCTCATCAAGAAATTTTAAGAGCTGTTTGGCCGACAAGTGTCATTTTTAAGAGCTGAGAAGGTTTGAATGACTGTAGATAAAGTTTTGCAAGAAGCACGGTTGCAACAAACGCAGGGCTGTGCCAATTTTTTAGGCGCCATATTTGGTTTGAAAATTTTAAATTAAGGTGCCAAAATTAACATACAGCCAATAACATGGTATTATAACTCACACTTAGCAAATAATAATAACTTTAAAGGGCTGAGTAAAGATATTGCTCCAAAACTTAGCCCCCACAATAATGTTAGCTCCTTTCCAAAATACTCGAAGAGTTAAATACTATCATTTACAAACATTGCGAAAACAAACTTAAAGGGAAGATGGAAAAAAGAAATTGAAGGAAACACCATTTGGAGTGGCTGCAGAATGTTGAATTGTATCCGACTTTTCTCTGACAGCTTACTGTCGGTACTAGCCTCCATACTGCCAGTTGCCTTAATCATAAGTGAAGAAAAGTGATTTGTGGAAAATCCTATCATGACATTACATCGCCTACCCTACATAAAGGTGTTACTACACTCTGCAATGAACCCTATCTTCCATACAATTCAATGCTTTTTCGGGCTCATTTCAATGTGTAGTTACGCCCTTATGCCAGGCAAGCGACGATTTATCCCGCAATGATGATTTATCCTAATATTTTAGTATCTTTAAGAGTGGACTGACAGGAATTTTCACCCTGTTCGACAAGAACAAAAAGAAAATTTCGAAACACACCCAATCACTGAATTATAATGCATACCCATAGTTATTTTTCAACTGTGATTAGTAAAAGGAAAAAGCATGGAAGCAAAGCTAAATTATTTAGTTGTCAATATGAAAGGAGACAGAAGGGTGTAAAATACATGGGTCAAAAAATTAAAGGTACGCTTATAATGCAAAATACACAGGAATTATTTGATGAAACAAACTAACCTCTCTTTCGCTTTCATCTTCGAATTCACTATGATATGTATCACTACACGATTCAGCACCAGGTTCACTAGAGGCTAAAATTTGGGAGGAATTTGATTTCTGTAACAAAAAAATGATACAACAGATTATTTAGGATGCTTTTCATTTTGCAGTTGTGAAAGTATCTATATACTTTAAGCTCTTAAGCCTCCTAAATTTTTATTTCTGGTGACGCTTGGTTCCAACATTTTACCAGGCCGATTTTCATGATTTTTGCAGCTATTGACAGGCAATTGTCTCTGGATGACCCCGCTTTATTCAGATTTTGAAAATATGACCCACGTTTCTTTAAATTATGTGGTGTGGTTGCAAATTCTCTCTTTTCAACAATGTAGATGTTTATTTTTTGTCACAGTTCGTTTGAGCGTTCTAATGGGCCGATTTTCATGATTTTTGTGGTTATAAGCAGGTGATAGTTCCTAGGTAGGTCCGCTCTAATCAGATTTTGGAAAAAGGACCCAGGTTTTTTTAATTACGAGTAGACCAAAGAGCTTAGAAAGGGGGGGGGAAATTTGAACTAAGCTGGAAATGTAGAATCTTGGTCTGTTAGTAGGCTCCTTTACTACAGACTATCAAAAACCGACAAAGTGCTTCATTCCGTTCCGTTCCATTTCAGTCTTGGCGTGAAGTTTGAAATAAATGCCGATTTTTTCATTCAATTCTTAGTGGTCCAATTGCTCCTGACCAGAGAAATATTGGACAAATGAGAGTAAGGTATAAAAATCTTCTCATTTTTTTTGGTCGTTCTATTGTCGACGTAGACCTAAGAGAGAGCAAAGCGCCCTCTGGGGGTTGGGCCGCCTAGTTTCTTATACCTCATAGTGATTTTCTTCAAATATTTTTAATGGCAGCATCAAGAATGATGTTAAAAGGATTTTAAAATATGGATGCAAAGTTTAGTAGCTGAAGAAACAGAGACAGGATATGCTAAGAGAAATGGAGACATATATCTGGAGGATGCCAGAAATTTCTAGAGGAGATCTGGGCGTAATGATAGAGTGGGTAAGATCATAGAAGTTAAAAGTGACATTGTATTCGGTGTTATGACCCAACAGCTAGTCTGGTATGGTCATGTTAACGGAAGAAAGGCTGCCAAAGAAAATTCTTGGTTCGGCTCCTTCTGGGAGGAAACGAAAGGGACGCGCAGTGAAAGGATGGCAACAAGGCGTTTCAATGAAATGAATGAATGCCAATGCCCTGGAGGACTAGCTGTGATACTGATGTGGATACTGTGGCGGCAAGGTGTCGCAGAATGAAAGACAGCACTGTAAAAACGGCTCTCATGTATGTATCAAGACTGAAAATTCATAAAAGGTATTTGAAATTTATTCAACTAGTTCTCAAACAAGATTTTAAAAACATAGGCAGCCAAAATGTGTTAATACACTTTTTTGTTCTCCGTTCCCTTAAAAGTTTGAACAGAACCAGTATTTAGGCAAAAACTTTTCAATGTATATTTCATCCACTTGCTACACAGAGTCACTTTATATTCAGAGTAATTGAACCCGTTTCTGTTCGATGAGCGTAAGACCAAAAACTCATGAGTCCTAGCATCTTGCCTGATCAACAAAAGCCAGAGCTCATGAGTTTTTGGACTTGCACCCGTTTTACAGAAACCGATTAAATTGCAATAAGGAACAGCACCTGCAAGTGAAACCGAGAAAAAAGAATAATACTTACAGCTGAGTCTCTATTTTCAATAGTCTCAATTGTTTGCGAATAATTCGACTCTGCGTAGGAACTTGATTCTTTCCCATTGAATTGTGCCTCTGTTTCCATTAAATTTCTTTCATTCCTAAAGATACTTTTCATTTCTTCCTGTAACCAAACAAATGAAAAACATAGTGAATGAAAGAATGGTGATAAAATATAGTATCAACAGACTTTGAAATGTATGTGTAAGACGGTTACATTTTCACGCTTCTGAGATGAGAAATTTCATCAAAAATCATCATTCAAAAATTGCTTTACTGGAATTTCAAATTTGCAATTTTACCAATGTGTTCAGTAAAAGCTGACAGAAAATCCAGGACTCGTTTCACAGAATATTGACAGAAGTATGTCCTTCAAAAGACACAGAGCTTGACATCACATGCCACAGGAATGAATACAATGGTTTTCTTCCACCTTGAATTCAATTTCACACATATTTATATCAGTTGCTTTGCGTGCATCATTGATAAAACCACAGTAGAAAACATGATATCAACAGTGGATAACGTCGATTGCCATGTTTTTCAGACAGTCATATTTCCATCATTCTAGGTGGCGGTAGCCACCCCAGCCCAATCCAAAAAACTCCCCCTAAAAAATGACGAGACCAAATGAAAAAAAAAATTATCGAAAACAGAAACTTGCCATTTAAGCCGAACAAGTTTATTTTTGAAATGGGTACACACACTCAGTCGTCAATTATAAAAAGATAAACTCTAGGCTCTCTCACTTTTTTGCAAAAAGAACACTTGTTTCAGAGCTTCATGAAAACTCCAACATCAGTCTAGGCTGATGTTGTTTTAAAAGTTAATTGTTTAGAAAGATCTATCTTAATCTACAACGTCATTTTTTGCTGATCAATATGTTTCAACTCTCAAAACACAATTCTAAAACCAGCAGACTTGTCTTAAAATAGTAGACGTTACAAAAATTTACACACAATAATATGAGGAAACATAGAAAAAGCTACCTTTTGAAAAAATAAAAGAGATAAGAGCATCAGATAGTGCATGAGCTTACCATTTCGTCTTGAGTTAATTCCCTACTGGTATCACTAACTTTAGCTTTTCCAAATAGTTTTTGAGCTTTGGCTTTTAATTCCTTTGGATGCGGTGTATTCTGCCTGACAAACGAAGTCTGCAAAAAATCATAACAGCAAGAATGATTAAACAAGGATATTTGGAGGAACACTTTTAAGGGTAAATTTGTAGTCTAAGGTTAGGAAAGCTGCTGATTAAAGTGAGGTTTCTTTCCCTCATACTGATAACAAATCGATCAGTTTTTGCCATCCATCTTTTTAGTCTCAATTTTACAGCATTCTTCATCTAAGTTTTATTGCATCAGTAAATTTCAGAACCGCAAAAATGAGGTGCTTCTTAATTTCTGCGATGAGCAAATCTAGATTAGTTAAAGTCAAGCAAAACAGGTTAGCAAAATCACAATCAATTCATTAAAACTTTGAATGATGACTAGTTAGTAAATTTGCACACGTAAAAACAGTTACTTGACAAAGTCAACAGTGCAGAGTCACTTACAAAAATAAGGGAGTTAACCCTTAAATGGTACTTGATGGCTGAAAAGAATTGTCTCTGCAAAGGAAATAAAAAGAAATTTAGAAAATAAATCAACTTGCAAGTCTTTCGGGTTGGTCACAGTTCTTATCAAAAAGTTTAAAACCTTCTGGTTATCATACTCAGGCATAATATTTTTTGACATAGAAATTATCGACCCTTTGCATATATGTTGAGGCTGTTGTCTTTTTGCCTGCCATTTAGACTTTCACATTTTTACTTCTGTAACCATCAAATAGGCTTTTCTTCGAAGAAAGATTAAGATGCTACAAGACAAGACATATCGATTTCAATAATGTGAGCCAGAGAGGTATTTAGAAGAAGGGACTCTAAAACATCCTGTGCTTAAATTTTAGTACCGTAGGATAAAAACATCCATTTGGGCAAAAAATGATTTTTATCCATCTCTGACTAAAAGAGAAAGGAGGGTTTTGATAATATCCAAAAACTTACATTTCTATTAGCATCTTCAGTTTGAGTATCCTCTGAAAATTTTACTGAAAGCCTGTTGGTAGCTTCTTTATGCTGCAACCAGGTTTCATCATCGCTAGCACGACTACCACGCCCATCATTATCAACACTATATCCATCATTGCAACTTCCATTTAGAATACCTGTAAGTTACAATACAATACATTTGAATAAAAAATAGTAAAAGAAAGGAGCACACATTCAGAGCTCTCTTATGAAGCTCTTGCCATGACTAGCTGATGCTCAGGACAGTCAGAAAGAAACACTTCTGAGTTTTTCGTTGACTTTTATGCTCAACATAAATTGGAAACTGGCTGCAGATGGATTGAAAACACTTAATATTAGAGATCGGATTAATGATATAGTTGAAATTTAGATTAAGTTACTTCACACAAGAGACTAGAAAATTCTGTGGAATCAAAGAAAAATTTCTTGGCAAAGAACGGTTTGGTATACAGCAGCAACATGTTGTGGAGATGGTGGGTGGCTGTTCGTAACTTTTCAGAATTTTCTTTCAATTTTTACATCTTTTAGCCGATTTTTAAAAGATAATTTATGCCGAAATGTAACGCGAGGAGAAGTCATGCTTCTCAGAGGAGTAATCAGGTTGGTCATAGATCAATGTAATGATTGTGAAATTCTGGGGAGGAAAACTTTCTTGCTGACTTGTGAAATCACAGCTCTGCACTCTTTCATTCTGTAGTAAAGAAAAGGCTGCAGATAATAGAGTGAGAAAGCTTCCTCAATGTGTGGCATGAAAGGTAAACAAAATTGACGAGGCCGAAGTAGAAGCGTTGAATATTGTTGGAGAGTCTATGGATCATTTATTCAGTATTAATTACTTTAGTAATTTTCAAGACATTAAGGAACAAATCTCAAAATTTTTCTATTCCATGATTGCAAAAAAATGTGAAATCAAATTTTGACTACCATGCCGGCCCCTGAGGAACAGTATGATTGCCTTGTTTTGATGGTCTTGATTGCCGAAACTCACTAAAATCAGACTCCCAAAATAGGATTACTGCCACGGCCTAAAGAAATGCGGCACTGCTGCAATGGTACGGACGTTATTTCTTATGCATGTTGTTTTTGAACGCAGCATTGCGGCGATATTTGTTTGAATCTAAGGCAGTCAACATGTTGGTAAAAATCTTGAAAGAAATTATGATATCAGATTAATTGAACTTAGAATTAACATGATATCCTATCTAAGAAGGATTTACACTACTACTGACACTTCAAGGGTGTTTGGACTGCGTGAAAAATTATCTTGGAGATACAAAAAAAAGCACAGCATAAAATTTTTTAGGAAACAATCTTGATGCAAAGAAAGAGCTATTACCATTATATTTGTCTGATCTTTCTTCAACCTGTGGTAAAAGATAACATGTCAGGACTTGTTCTTTTGTTGTCTCATCTATATCAGTCTGAAAAGTTAAAAGAGGTTGAGCTTGGTTCGCTGATAACCAGATGGCCTTTAAATTTAAATTTGCTAAGGAGTATGGCAGGTACTGCAGCCTGAAAACGAAGAAAGAAATTATAAGATTAGTAGAAACAGCTCAATTATTTTCAAACTTAATATAAATTTTTGATAATTCAATTAGATACATATCTTCATTCAGAAAACTTTAGGTCAGCGCTATTTCAGATTTCAGAAGATGGAGTTCCCAGACATTTATCTGATAATCCTGGAAAATATTTAGTCCAGACAATCCAGACTAAATAAAAGGTTTACCTTACTAAGTCTAGAAAAAAATTTCTGACATAGGATGCCAACATATTTTTTAGCGCTTAATTTGAATATGAACGTTGCTACCTTTGAGTCTTGCTGCTAAGGCTGCCATTTTGAAAAACGTTTCCAAAACTTACTTTTGGTCCAAAAATTGATGACAAATTCTTCCTTGTACAAAATGGCAAAATGAATAGTTTGTAAAATAGGAGTAACTTAAATTTAACTTTAGAGATAAGTATTCAAGCTTTTGGTAAAATGCACATATGATTGCAACTTCTATTCACCGGAACAAATCCACATAAATTTTATTTCCTATCCAAAACAGATAAGAGGACTGAGAACAAATTTTGAAAATTGTAACTTAAGCTTACCTATTGCCAGAAACATCCAGGACGTGCAGTTCAGAACAGTTCCCAACTTCTGAGGGTATATACCTCAGTTTGTTGTCTCTGAGAGATAGAACTCCTAATTGTGATAGTTTACCTGAAGAAGAAATAAAGTGAGACTGATAAGTGAAGGAGATACATCACATTCTATAATCTTCAAGTTGATTCACAAGTTTTAGATGGAATGAACAATTTTATTTAGGGTTAATGTTAGAATCATCAAAGGGTAATAACAAAGTTGCAACAGATCTGATCAAACCCAGAATGAGTCAAATGAACAACTGCGTGCACTCACCAGAATGCATGTTTTTTCATCGAAGTTTCATGCAAAATATGGTAAAAATTTTGAATATCTTCAAAACTGATTGATAAGCAAAAATTCAATGTTAATAATTTATAGAAAGTTCATATTAAAAAAACAATACAAGGTCAAACTGATTGATACGAATTTATATTTAATGACCCATTGACTTAAAATGGCGGCTCAGAGCCGTCCACCGATTGTTAGCGTCATTTCGGCGGTTCTCCAGTAGATTGCACTCTCATCAATGTTTATATGAATAGTGTGGCCACCCTATGACTTATTGTGTACAGTAATTTCTTGCTTTGTTACAGTATTTTCATTTTACTGTGTGTGTGCACATGAAATCACCTCAAAATTTTCTGATTTTCGCTGATTTTGCAACTTTGAAAGCTATAAACCACAATAAAAAAATCATTGTGTTCAAAGTTTTCACCATTTTTCTCAAATGTTGTATTGTGAATGCTTATTGTGTCAATTTTCACCCTTGGAGAATGAATTTCTGGATTATTTTGAAGTGTTCAAAGTTACTGATTTTCGCCTAATTAAATCGTAAGTCAATGGGTTAAGTTTTGAAAATAACTCAAATCAGGTTTTACAGAATGATCCTTCCTTTTCTGATGTGCAAAGCTCATAAACTACACAATAAGAGATCAGAACAAAGATTTTTACTAATAAATTCCAACTCCTGTCGGAATTTTAGCTTTGAAGAAGGAACAGCGGAGTCCCGAAACGCATCAGCATTTACTTTATTTCAAGAGTTAGAGTTTTCCAATTTTCAATTATCTTTCCGTTTTCATTCATCTAGCTCACAGTTAGGTAAATCTTTTTTTGGTTAGTTTCTTTTGGTTCTGTACGTCGAAATGATTGAAAAATAGATTTGGAAGAATTTATCTCTCTGCCATTTTTCGTAAAGATATCAGAAAGGGAAAAGATGGGAAAACTGGGTGAAAATTAAATATAAAAAGAACAAAGGAAAGAACAACATTACCTATTTCGGAGGGAAGACTATGTAAACTATTCCTATCAATATTTAAATTGGTTAGCTTGACTAAATTTGCAATTGTCTGGGGAATTTGAATTAAAAAATTCTCAGTCAATATTAGCTCCTGTAAATTTTCACACCTAAAAACAAAATTAAAAACATACATACATTAATAATCTTGATAATGATCCAATATAAGCCTTTCATTCCTCTGGATGAGAATTTTCTATCCGTAAGACACTTTTCTTCATATTCCTCACTGCAGCAAGAGCAAGCTTGATCATAGAAAGGTAAATGAGAGATACTATTTGTAGCAATAGGATAATGCACAGCTCAGCATGGCATATTTATCACAGATTAGGCTGCAGTTTTTGTAAGAAACAACACTAAATTGCAATTTTTCATATTAAACAAATTTGCTGATCTCCAGACAGAAAGTTCCCTAGTGTAAAAAAAGAAAACAAAAAAATGTTGAATGTTCTACCTTGAGGATAGGAAAAAACATGATTTCTTAGATATTATGAGATTTTGAATCCTACAAGACATAACAAAAAATCCAAACTGAGCAGGAATACTTACTTTCCAATATTTTCATTTAAAGTTTGAAGTCTATTTTGATCTACTTTCAAAATAGTTAATTTACTTAGATTTCCAATACCATCAGGCAATGTTTCCATAACATTTTGAGAGAGGTGAAGGTCCGTTAAACTATTGAGGCCTCCGATTTCATTGGGGATGTCTTCTAAACGATTTTCAGACACATCTAGACACATTAATTTTTTGAGCTCACCAATTTCCTGGAAAAATAGGAAAGAAACTGATGATCAAACATAAAAATTCAAAATATGGTAAATAGATAAAAGTAGGTAATAGACCACTAGACAGGGTATGAAATTAAGAACCATAATAAGAGCTACTTTGACAAAATTTTACGTAGAATACGACAGCCACATTAAAACATTCTAAATTTCACTCATAAGTCAGAAAATAACAGATTTTGTCTACGTTATGTTTACACTTCCCATATAAATTTTTTTTTTTTTGGTTTGGACTGTTTTTTAAGGTAAAGAAATGCTATAAAGAGTCTAAAAAAGAGAATTTTCTAGCAGAATATATGCGACTCATGAGAGATCGATCGGTGGATATACAGAGAATTTTTGGCGATTTTAAATGCTTTTGTAATCAATAGTGTCAATGCTTGATTGTATCGATACCCTTATTCCACAAAACATTCCTCAGAATATTCAAAATAAGATAATAAACAAATAGTGCGATAATTGAAACTTACCGGTGGCAAGTGCTGCAATTCATTATGATCTAACCACAGCTCTTGCAGTGCAGATAGTTTACCGATTAGGTGAGGCTAGAAGAAAAAAACAAAAACCAAACAAAAAACAATCTGCCTTCTTCAAGTACATGCATTTTAAAATTAAAAACTGAAAATCATATTTAAGATTCATGTTGAAGATCACATGAAGACCATTTTAAAAGTAATCAAAAAAATATTTGAAAAGAAAAAGGTTTAAAGAACTCATAAAAGTGAGATACAATTATAACCGGGTCAACACTTAAAAAAAATACGAGTACTGATTCAGGCTCCTGATCATAGCTATATAATGAAAATATTTAATAGCGCAGTCCAGGAGTACCTATTTTCCCTAGCAATACTGTACTCTAAACTGAGGACTGTTATGCTGAAATGAAAATAAACTGATGATGAAATGTAGAGTTCGGAAAAAATGGTTGAAACATTTTGAGTGTGTCCTACAAATCATAGGAATGTGTTACGGATTGACAAGAAACAAAAGGTGTCTAACAAAAGGCACAATTAGCATGAAACAGAGGTGCCATTTTCAAGACCTCTGTTCCCTCATTGTGTTCACAGACGCATTATACCATCAATTTATTACATACATGCAATCCTGGCATAAATTAATCGATTGATCAGTTAATATATGTATAAATATCACTCGATAGAAAGGTGTGTATTACATTAGCAGCTTGGGGAAAGACCGCACAGCAAATATTTCTACCACTTCTTACCAACTGATTCTTTTAAGGAAATGTGGCAACTATGAATCAAAGCATTAATTAGCTCAAGGTTTATTGGTTGGGACTCAATCTCTTTCCAACTGTAAACTACGTTCATAAAAGAAAAATTATGGCTTATTAAGAAGGTGAAAATTCTACACCCAACATTTAATTGAAGACTTTCTGGCAATGACTGATCTATGGTATCCAGTACACTTTATCACTTACAAGGAGCTCTGAGAATAGTGTAACAAATAAATAATACGTACAAAATAAAGAATAGACTTACTAGTTCATCGATGTTATTACCTCCTAAATCTAGTCTTTCTAATTTTGTTAAATGTGATATAGATTCAGGTAACGACTTAAGCATGTTTTCCCTTAGTTCTAAGGATTCAAGATTCCCTAAACTGAAACAGGCAGAAAAGGATACAATTAGGGTAATATGACGGAACAAATGAAGGGAATCATTCTTGTAATCAGTAAAGTCACTGTTACATGAGATCTTTTGTCTGATCGTATCCAATATGTTGCAAAGCATGCAAAAGACACTCAAATAGAAAAAAACTACTTCATGTCTTGGGATTGAATAAATTTTTTTTCAATTAAAATATTTGTCTTAACTGTTCTAATATGCTATGAGGGGTGCAAGACCCGTAATTTATTATTCAGTTGACTGCGAGTAAAATCAGATTTTGTAAATGTGACAATTAAATAATTATTCAATTGCCTGTTCATCAAATTAGACTTATATGATTAATGAACCGCAGGGCGAATAAAATTATGCAGACACAAGGAAACTTTAAACCGCAGTTAGGGATATCGCGAATTCTTCTTGGAAACTGAAACTTGATAATTAATTGAAGATGTTGAAAAGGCTGTTCAAAATATTGCTGAGTCACCTGAATTTTTCACACGAAGATTTTAAACTGAACTCTGAACACTATACTTATGGGCTGACTTTTTTGAAACTAAACTTTCAATCTTACTAGCCAGACCAAATTTTTGAAAAATCCTTGTCAAAGGATCAAAACACTTAGTGACTGAAAGCTGTGTCCAGAAAACGAGGAAGATACATAAGATACTTACTTGCCAAAGTCGATAGGTAAATCCATCAAAGACATATCATTGAGACCTAAATTTGTTAAGTTTCCAAGTTCGACAAAGCCATCAGGTAGCCTAAAACAGAAGAGAGACACTAAATTTAGTCTTAATTGAAGGGAATGGAACAGCCTCAGAATAACCTAGATTTATAACCATCATCGTCCCTAATAACAAGAAATGAGGGCCTTTCATGATGGGTTTTAACTTCTTAGAGGGGCTTTGAAACTATTTTCTCTGGTGTGACAGGGGAAAAATATAGTTTATGATACTTGTTCTACTGAGAGACCTCAACGAAAAATCGAATGGTAGAGAGCTGCTTTTTAGTCGTCCGCACATTTTCACACTCAAGTAACGCACATCTTAAATTTTTTTTCTTTTATTTTTTTTTAAATACTGGGATCGTGATGGTTAAGTCTTGGATAATTTTTAAAGGGTATCAAAGCTTTTTCATAACGCATAGAATGGCTGAGCTAATCACGAGGTGACAAGTTTTATTAGATTTCAAAATTTCGGGACTTCTTAAAGGTTTCAAGATGGATTACCCCACTTTTCAATTTTCATTTTATTTCGTGATTTTACAAGCATTTTTAGACGTGAGGTCTCCTGAAATTGATAAAAATCAGTGTTTTGGTAAGAGAAGAAAATTTAGAGATTCCAAGGCAAAATTCCCTGATTTTTCCCTCGTTGTTCAAGTTTGAGGGAAATTCGTCGAATTTTCGAGGACTTGTCACCCTAAATCAAAACAGGATCCTACAGTGACCACAGTCTCAACGAAAAAAAAAATCTTACAAATAAACAGTCCAAAGGGAGACCCAAGTAGGTAGGAGAGGGGGGGGGTGTCCATTGACTTGTCCCTTACTGTTTAACTTTCGGCAAAATTCTCCGACTTTCGGAGGACTTATCACCCTAAATCAGCAAAAGGATTCGACAGTGACCACAGTCTCAATGAAGCAATTCTTCAGCATTTCGTAGGGAGACCCGAGGAGGGAGAGGGGGGGGGGCGAAGGCTAATTATTCTGCCGTGCTACGGAAAAACGCCGGATGAATATTCGAGGGTTACCAAATTTCCTTCGATAAAATGTTCATTAATGAGGAACGTTATGAAGATGCTTCCTTGAAATTTTCAGGGGCTTTAGGTGAAATTGCAAACAAAATCCTCTGAAAAAATGGGTGAAAAATATCAGGGTTTCTACTAGCACAGGCAGGCCAAAAATAAGTACTGTTACAGTACTTTTTACGTACATTCCCAAGAAATTCAGTACCTCCTCAACAGAAAAATTCAGTTCTTTTTCAGTGCATCCATTTGAGGAAATTCGGAAAATTTCACAAATTTGACTTTCGCTCAAATTGCGACGGAAATGAAAAAAAATCCGGACCTACTTGCGAAATTTCCGCACTATTTTAGTACTTTCGGACCGCCCTTAGAAAATCGGTACTATTTCCGGACTTGTAGACACCCTGAATATTCATAAGTTTACCAGGAAATTTGTGTTTTATCAAAAGAAATTTGGCAACTCCTGAAGGTTCATACGGCGTTTTTCCTCGGCCCGGCAGGCCGCTCGTCGGATCGGAGTGAACGGCTGGTGACTGGTGGAAATCAAAGCAGTCGAAGGATTCGGAAGGAGTCCGTTGCACCGTTAAGAGGTGGGTNGGGGGGGGGGGGGGGGGGGGGGGGGGTGTTGGCCTGGGCTCTTGCGCGCTGCAAAGCACGGGCCGTGACGCATGACGCGACGCCTTGGCCGTGCTAAGGAAAAACGCCGTATGAACCTTCAGGCGTTGCTAAATTTCCTTTGATAAATCACGAATTTCCTGGTAAACTTATATAGATTTTTCCTCCTATGGTGATGATGCATGTGTGAGGAATTTGCGATTTGACCATTGATTCATGTGTTAAAGTTCGCGAGAAACACGATGGTGCCACTGGTTTTCTCTGAAATCATCTCCCAAGCTCAAAAAAAGCTCTCAAGTTGAGGCCAAAATGGAGGGGATATCCCGCGCTATCCTGAGAATCCACGTCTCCATCAAGACAAACTCTCCATGCAAAGATAGGGAGCAAATACACTAGCAGGGTTGCCGTGTTTTCAGCTTTGGAGTCCCCAAATAGGTAAAGAGGCAGCCCTGTCAATGTATTTGCTCCCTATCTTTGCATGGAGAGTTTGTCCTAATGTAGACGTGGACTCTCAGGATAGCGTGGGATATCCCCTCCATTTTGGCCTCGACTTAAGAGCTTTTTTTAAGCTTGGAAGTTGATTTCAGAGAAAACCAGTGGCACCATCGTGTTTCTCGCGAACTTTTACATGAGAATCAACGGTCAAATCGCAAATTCCTCACACATGCAACATCTCCATTTTTCAGATAATTTTGTTCGCAATTTCACCTTGAGTCCTTGAAACCAGGAAAAATCTCTATATCTTTCCTCAAAAATAAACATTTTATCTCGGGAAATTTGGCAACGCTCGAATGTTCATACGGCGTTCTTCCTTAGCACGGCAGCGTGGCTCGCCTTTCTTTCGCGGTTTTCACGGTCCCGTTCCGTGTCCGGCGTCCACGTCCTGGACCTCACTGCCCGTCGGACGTCGCACAGTGGAACGAGTCACTAGGAGAGGTCGGACAAAATTTGGAAACTTTAAAAGCTTATGACTCCGTTTATACAAAACTTAGAGGTTCTATAAGTGATTTCATTGGTTTCCTCGTAAATTTTTCTACGAGAGGCACCCCTTAAAATTTAAACTGTGACGAAATTTGCAATTTTGGTCAAAAATTTGATGTCCGACCTCCTTAATTCACTCGGTCCACTGTGCGTCCGAGGGACCAGACCACAATATTATGAGTATGAAATTCCCTGACATTTCCCTGATGCGTTTGAGTAACCTTTCCTGACAATTGAAGATACGCCAGATGGTTAAAAAGACATATTTTAAAATATTTTTTGAGCAAAATTTGTTGTTTGAAACGTCAAACTCATTCTACATAGCAAATAAAGGTGAATTGACAATTTTTCCCTGAAAAGTTCGACATTTTCCTTGACATTTCCAGGTTTTGTCTTACTTTTTAAAATTCCCTGTCATTTCCCGGTATTCCCTGACTGTGGCCACCCTGAGGAACGCTCCCACTCCATCGGCAATTCGACATCCTCCTCGATTTCAAAACGGTCACTCGCGGGCTGAAACAACTCGCGGGCCGAAAGCTCTTCGCGGCGCACAGTGGATCGAGTCAATGGGAGAGGTCGGACAAAATCTGGAAACTTTAAAAGCTTATAACTCCGTTTATACTAAATTTTGAAGCTCTAAAAGTGGCTCCGTTGGTTTCCTCGTGAAATTTTCTTTTAACAGCACCTCATAAAATTTAAAATGTGACGAAATGAACATCAAAATTTGCGGCTGTAGTTAAAAATTGTACGTCCTCTCTGATTGGTCCGATTCACTGTGCGGCGCCTCCGCTTGAAAGCGAGGCGAGGAGGGTGCTTGCGTCCCGAGTGCTTACACGGTAAAAAAGGCGGGGTAGTGAATGTAGAGTACCTGTATAGGGAGAGTACCGACAGATCGGTTCATGGAGGGCTTAGGGCCCAAAAGTGCAGCCACCCTTCTAACCAACTTCTAACGCACAAAATTTCACTGCCAGTCTGTAGATTCCAATTCTAACCAAGATGGCCAAGAATGTACAGAAATGAGCGTTCTTCCGCGAAATTGAGTAAATTTATGTAACAACTGAGTCAAACACGTGCTTGATAAAGGACGGTTCGTAACAACAGTATCAGTAAATCGCTCTGGATAATTGAAATTCATAGGTTGGCTACCCTTTTGGGCCCTAACTTTATTCGCGGAGGCATCGGTGAAGGCCTGATAGACTTTCGGAGTTTCAGATCTGTCGGTACTCTCCCTATACAGGTACTCTAAGTGAATGCTCTTTTGACCACGGTGTCTAAAATTCTTAACCATGCTCATTCCCTAGTTTTCTTCTATTTTCAGGGACTCGTTCCCTGACGAGGAATCGAAGTTTCCTCCCACTTGACCGGGATTTTCTTAGGGGAAAACGATAAAACTTTCCGGAGTTCCAGATATGAGTATCGATTTATTCACCTTTAAGCTTATTCTTTGGCGCCAATTCAAATTGAATTCCCATAGCGCCCATGATGTTAATCTTATCTGGTCAATGAAAGGTTCAATGTTATTCTGATTATTTAATGGTTCGAGAGGCATGCTCAGGTGCAATGACATAAACCTTAATAACAATAGGTGTTTAAGATTTCTTTACCATAATTAATTTTTGAAAACACACAAACTCAGTATTACTTTGATAAATGACCGTTGTAAAGGGATAACCTGGAGAAAATTCAAAAGAAGAGGAAGAGAGAAATTAATCTTTAAACGTTAGAGGACTCTACTTCCGGTTTCTGGAAAAAATTTCCTGATTTTTCTCTATAATTTTTCATTCCTTGATGAATTCTGGATTGTTTCGGGTTTACCCCAGAAGCGGATTCAGCACTTTGGCAACACCATATTTCCTTTATATAAACCTATTCTGAAGAATCGATTATTGTCAGAGCATCTGGCCCCTTCTATAATCGATACATTTCCATATGTTTAAATGGAGAAAAGACAATGTTGCCAATTTGCTGGATTCGCCAATGTTTTACGCGGACTTGGTCTAGGCACTATGTTTTACACTTCACCGAATGCGCTCATTGCTTGATTGCCCATTTTTCTAGATATAACGCTTCAAACCAAACATTTTCAACAGACCCATTTCAGTACCTTTAAAACATGTTTTCTTGCCAACATTCCATGCAAACTATATGGGAAAGTTGAAAATGTCTAAATCAATTTTCGAAGGAGTAATTAGTGTTTACAGTTCGCGCCAGCGGTAAATATTTAAATTTTCCGCTTCTAAAACGATCAAAATCAACGTAGCACGTAAAAGAGCGAACGATTGAAAACTTACGTTTGAATAGGATTGCTGCTGAAATCTGCGACTTGGAGACATTGAAGATACCTTATCGTATCAGGAATGTCAGAAATATCTGCGAACAAAAAAGGAGAAGTGAGGGGTTAGTGACGAAGGTTTTTTTGGGACATTGATTAATATTCCACTAGACGCAGAACTTTTATTGGGGAAAGAGCAGAACTTCATACAATTTTCACTGATAAATTTACTAGACGTTTATTGTGCTATAGCTCCGAACGGGTATTTAGGCTTGGGATGTGACAGATAGCCTGTCGCATTTCATTTTTTCGAAAGACGAATGGTCATCGTTTGTGTTCCAAATTCTGTGCGACTCAGTAGGGTTGTTCTTCGAAAATTTCGCACTTCAATACAAAAATTAGTTTTTCCGACGGGGGAAAAATCCATACTAAGGACGACTCATTGGAGTAGGTGAAATACAGGAAACCTTACATATCATGCTCAAATACCTAATTTTATTTTTCGATTTTGAGGGCCGGCAACATTGTAAGACATTGAAATAATGGATTTCTCTAAAAATTGACAATGTCGCCATAAAAATCAGTATTTGTTTACTTCATCTAAACAACAGGCAACGCTGTTATTGTGAAAGAGAAACAATCAAAGCTTCGGTGCGTATTGCATGCAATGGATACTGAATGAATTTCATTGAAACGCCCCTGGCTGGATGCAACTATTCGGGCTCTGGGGATGTCCGTATTGCATACGCACGGAAATGCAGGCGTTTTGGACTTCAGACGCCAATCCGTGACGCTCAGTAAAGCGAGTCAACGAGAGGAGTCGTACAAAACGTGGAGACATTAAAAGCTCAAACCGATGTTAGTACAGAACGTAAAGATTTTATAAGTGGTTTAGAGGTGGTAAAATCGATTTTCCTTTCTGCAAAATATATAATAAATAGACAATGCATATGAATCAAATCGAGCTAAAAGTACCACTGTATTTGCCAGTAACTCCCGATTTTTTCTTTTCCTTCATTACCTGAGATGAGACAAGACATTTTTTAGTTTTTATAGCTCACAAAAGTTTAACGCATCGTGAGAATTTGGCAAATTTAGCAGAAAGAAAAACGAAAAAAGGAGAAGAAAAAGCGTGATAATGAGAAGAGAGAGGTGTAGCGTTGCTTATCTTTCCTTCGGGGATAATACTGGAAATACACATGCTCAAGTTTCGTTCGCGTTGACGTGGTACGGTCCGGAACAAGGCACATTAGAATTTTAAATAGATTTTTGTTTCAAAAACAATTTCCGAACTGCAAACTTCAAAGCAGTTTAATTCCAGTTTGTTAGAGAATTTGTGCACCCTCCCCCGAAATATCGAAAGAGCAATCTTCTGTGCTCTCCGATATCAATGACTCAATTCCGAGTTTTTGTGGACTTACGGGCCCTTCGGCGGATGACCAAAGTTCAAAAGTAAGTACTAGGTTCCTGGACGCAAAATAAGAAATCCAGAATAAACAATAATTCGAAACCACAAACGTTCAACGTTCTAAGTTAAACCCTTCTGACAACCAAAAATCAAAATTTCCCAGCCGCCAAAATCAATAATTTACGAAACATCAAAATTGGAGCTGCAATGCTGCATCAATGATTGCTCTTTCAATTTTTAGTGATAGACCCCTTCCCCTTCTGGATACCTTCATTCCCGTAAGGAAATTCATAAGAATTTAACTTTAGCTACAAGGCTACCCCTTGTGGGTATTCAAAATCACGCAAATGCATACTTCAGACGAAGCCCTATTCGTTAACAGGGAAGTTCCCATAACAACACAAACACAAACATTACATGCAAATGGGAACTCTCACTCTCCAAGCGCCACGCTGAAAGAACCCTGCAACAGGACAGTCGAACACCTCCTCACGAATGAAGGGGCGAATCACTGCTCCCCATATCCGTGCACGAGCCACGAACGTCATACTTGAGACACGACTTCAACTCGTAGGAGGTTCTTTGATATTTTCCCGTAGAGTGTTACGTGTTTTATGCTTTTATGAGCGGCCCATGAGCCAAAACACGCGATACAACAATGGACCACTAGACAAGGCACGAATTTAAGCATTCTGATACATGTTTCTTACCCAGAATTTCACGTAAAACACGTTTCGCGCAACGAAAATGACTGAAACCAACTCCTAATGAAGATATTTACGTTTTTATTTCACATTGGTTACGAGGAGTTTGAACTGCCCGCTCACAAGAAACTCAAAGCTCTACGTGAGTCAATAATCGCGCACTACAACGGTCAACGGTTTCAGCAAGCTTCTCGATCGAACAATGTTCATTTCCCACCAGGTGTTGTTCAAACAATAAGCAATTTGCTATGGCTGAGCCATAGCGTCAATATTGAGGTTGCCAGATTTTTATATCGTAGAGACTGTCATGATAATGTTTGGCGCGCGATGTGAATCACGTAGAGCATTGAGTTTTAATGAGCGGGTGGTTTGAATTCACGCATCAGGAATCATTTAATATCCTCGTTAGGAGTCAATTTCGGTAATTTTTGTTGTGCGCATCGTGTTCTACGTGGAATTTTAGTTGTGAAACGTGTATTAGAATGCTGAAATTCGTGCCTTCTCTACTGGTCCTGATGAAGTCCTGATTTTTCCTGATTTTTTACTGCAAAATCCTGATTTCATAATTTTTCTAAATCCTGATTTTTTGCGGAGAAACTTTAGCTTCACAAAAATGGCTCGATAAAGAAATCCGATCGGACGGCCGACTGTTCTCATATCCTAATTTTACGACCGATTTTTCGTCAAATCCTGACGAAATCTGGATTGAATCCTGATTGACCTCAAATCCTGATAGAATCGGGAAAATCCTGATGCTAGATACCCTGTTACGTGCTCACTGCACTCTTCCGATACAACCCTGTTGGCAGAGATATAAATTTGCATCACCATCGCTTTATTACGGGTCTCACGATATTGCACAGAGGTCTTCCTTCAAAGCTCTCAGTGAAGATAAGACTTTTTTCCATTACGCTATCGATTTCATGTTCTCGTCTGATGAAAAAGACGTGTGACGTCATCAGAGATTCGTCGATGATGAGCGTTGCGAGCGCCTGACTGGACACGAAAGGAAATCGGCGGATCCCCTGTAATTATGCAATTATGCATTAACTCGACAATTGTTTTCATTGCAACCAACCCCCCCCCCCCCCCNAACCAACTCCCACCCGCATCGTCTTTCTACTTCGATTCGACCGCAGCTTTCATTACATCACTCTTGCTGGACTCCAGTCCACGCGATTCACGCCCAGGGCTCGAATGGACCTGAAGAAATTGAATCGCTCACTTCAAAAATGACCCAATACCCAGTCAACTTTTTTCATTTTGGGAAATCCTGATTTTTGACTGCTAAATCCTGATTTCATAATTTTTCCAGATACTGATCAAATCCTGATTTTTTGCGGAGAGAAATTAATAGCACAAAAATAGCTCGAAGAAAAAAATCCGATCGGACGGCCGACTTTTCTCGAATCTTAATGAAATCGGGATTACATCCTGATTGACGTCGAATCCTGATAAAATGGGGGAAATCGGGAAAATCCTGATGCTAGACACCCTGCCAGTGAAAAAAGTTCATTTCGACCGGTGGCGTGGCGTATTTTGCGATGCACCGATTGATCTGCTACTGTTTCCATTTTGCGAGCAATATCTGTGTATCGTTATATCGATGGCAATTGGAAACAGTACTTTTAACTTCATTTTAAGATTTTGAAGGATGATTTTCGGCACGAACATTCTTCAACGATTTATCGACTGACTGAAATTTAGATTTTCCCAAAATAATTCACCTAAAGGTTAAAATCCGAGATATATCGATCGTACCCAGGATGCATTGCGCAAAAACTGAAGATCCATGTACCTTAAACCCATCTAGTTTCAGCCAATAATTAGATGGTACGGTCACCGTACTCGTTCGTTTTCCACGGTCACC